AGCATTTGGTCGTGCCAAGATCGCTAGGTGGTGATAAAGTCGTCCAGCCATTGGTATCTTATCCGAAGCCTTGGTATACCAGAATCTTGATACACCAGTCCAAATTTCTCGATCTCGAATATCATCATCTTCAACTGCCATCCTGTAACGCCCTAAGTCACCAAGGCACTCTATCCACGTATCTTCAAACGTGGGAAATGTATCATATAGCAACGCCATCATGGTATACGCGATATATATGAAGGTGAGCATATGCTCAAGCGAGCCAGGCAGTTTCCGCCGTAGAAGCTCTAGAAACGAGTGTATACCATGGAGCCACATTCGTGCTGGCATGAAATACTTAGATGCAAGCCCTCGGAGCTCGGCACTCGCTGATGGGTGCTGGGATGCCAATAAAAAGTCATGATGCTCTTTGAGAAGTGACTGATGAAGGGAAATTAATGCATGATATTGCTCTTGACTTAGGTAAGTCTCCTTTTGTGTGCTATCATATTCAATGCATTTGCTCTCGAGTAAAACCAGTCCGGCATAGATGCCTTGGACTTCGGCGGCAAGCTGGTCTGAAGATATGGACCGAGTATCTGGTTGCAGAGGCATTCTTGCCACCGGCGCCGCATCGGGGGACTGGCCTCTGTTCTGACGGGATACGCCGGGCCTCGCCGGATTTTTAGTGCAGACGAAGTCCTCATCTCCGTCAACCGGTCTAGCGTGACTCCTGACCGGAGTCAACGGTGATGAGCTGCGTTGCTGAGCAGTTGACGCGACGTATGAATACGTCCTACTAGTTAATTCTGTTAACACCACAATTCAGCATCCTTTTACGATCTCGGACTACCATTTCCGAGTAATAGGCCAACTCACTGTGACTCGGTGCTATCGTCGCAACGACGCGGGAGCTCAAAGCCGCCTTCATGGCAGCTAGAGGTGGGTTCCACGAGACGAGTACCTTCTCCGTCTTGTTCATTGGTCACCAATGACTGTGACAGTTGTTTCGTATCCCATGGAACCGGGTCCATAGTCTAAGGGGTATATGTGTGGTGGTTAGGGGTGGGTATGATTCCGAGGTACTCTCGTGTGAAGCTTGTGAATCTCAGTTTTATTGCACAACAAGACCACACCTGATACGCTCTCCGGGGTGACTTGTTGTGTTAAGGATGTCTTCAAGAGTAAGAATGGGACGAGACACTGAGAGGACTCCTGGTTCGAACAAGTGTGGCTCCTAAGGGCAGTTCTTATGCCGCGCAATCGAGCCTCTGATGAAAGTGGTTCGCACCGAGCAATGGCAGCCTTTTGGTCGCCTTGCGGATATCTTAGCCAGTAGAAGAAGTGATTTGAGAGCCGTATCGTGGGATTTCATGGGTTGGGTTGTCTCGCAGTGACAGGGAGAGCAGATGTTGCTGTGATAACGCACCCCAGGACGACGCAACGAATAACAGGGCAAAGCCCTCCGGTGGGAATACGAGCTGCCTGACTCCCTGGGACTGTTTGCTGGCCTCAGGAGCATGGTAATTGTGACTTGTCCTTTGCATGGTTGTGCTCTTCGGTGTGGTTAGTTCAACCGAAGGCTGGCAAGCATCACTCATACATGCAACCTAACCTGGTCCCGGCCAGTGAAGTGCAATTCAACAGTCTCAGCCTTCTACACCGCGGATGTTGTGCCGTCCATCCGTCTTTATTCCCAACTGCAGTTGATGTCCCGTGCTTTTGCAGCTGGATCCAGACCACTCCCTCAACGCAATGGCGGTTAATCTCTTGCAGCGTCGATCCTTCCGAACGGCAACTTTGCTCTTGGTTTCGGTAAGCATGCTACATCATGGGAGCTCATACTCCCTGCCATGGTATTGCTTCTTGCTATGCAGGGCGAAACATGAGTGCGTGAAAACGATGGTGTCAACACGAAAGCTCTTCTCGTCCACCGCTGGCCAAATGTACTGGAGAACGGCCAACCACAAGGCCTACCGAACCCTCTTATAGCAAAATCGCTTCAGTAGCAAGAGAGGCTCAAAGTCCATACGAGTCCAACTGGGAAAATCTGTATATTATACTGCAAACATATCATAATGTAAGGACCTGCCTCTTCGACCATCAAGGCGAAGTGAGCCCCTGACACGGCGGCATGCTTCAACAACCAATATGTTATAATAAGAAAATGATCATGACTTTATAGCAGAGAAGCATTTTATTTCTCCTGATCTTTGATGGAACCACTCCGAGCCACTAGACCACTCCAAGATGATCAATGGTATACTCGGCAATAATATCGGAATCTTTGAGTTTGGTTATAGACGCTTTGCTGTTCTTCTCCTTTTTGATAGTGGGTCATGCTCTGGAACTTTGTCGGGCGGTGATTCGTATCTGTCGTAGATTCTCTTTAGTTTCCCATTGCTGCAATCGCTACTTCCTTCACTGCCGCCAACATGACCCCCTTCACCAAACTTTTGCCCGATAGAACCGCATTCTTCACATGCAGGGCTGTCAAGTCTCCTGGTGATGATACTGGACTTGCTCGATGGCCACTCCGCCGTATTAGAAAACCTGGTGTGTTCCCCATCCGGAAGACATTCAGTTGCTAAAAGGCTATTGGAGTATGCAATGCTTCCGTCGTTGGATTTGTTGATATTGCCATTGACTTCATCCTCGGCTGCATCTGCACGGGAAGCATTATCAGAGGACTGGTCGCCTTCGTTGATATCTTCTTCAACAACTCTTGGACTGTTCGGAACGGTAACCTCATCACTATTGCCGTCACTCTCAGAAGATATTTCAATTATTTCATGAGGCAAGTAAAAGGACTTGCAAGAAGTAGGGTCCAAATTGCGACTTTGGGCATCGACCTTGCGTTGACAAACACCCTCGTAAGGGTTTTTTTCGGGTGTGTTCGGCGGGGCTGTCAGGCTGGTCTCGGTTTCCATTTCGATGCTTGTAGAAGTGCCTGCTTGTTTATGAACACCAGCTCATGAAAGTGGTCGTAGCTGGTATGAAGATATCACCTCGTTTCATGGAGGTGAAATGTTGAGGTTGAGGTATTTATAGGCCATTATAAGAAAGTCTTCAACCTTTTAAAATGTCACCATTGAATGCTCAAGGCGGTTGGAGCAAACCATCCTAGGATTTGGATTGCGCTGCTCCTGAATGCACCGGATGTGAAAGGGGCCGGACCCATATCGTACGATTGAATGTTCACTAAGCTAACTTGGAATTGCACCACAGGCAACAATGTAAGCCGCAGATCCTAGAGATATAGTCTAGCCGAAACTAGATTGCAGAGACCGGGGGTGAAGAGTGAGAAGACATGGGAACGTATCAAATTGAATGGGAGGCTTTGTCATAGCTTAGGACAAAGCGCGTTCGCGGAGACCTCAAGGCTGTCAAAATTTCTGGGATGATATTTTCCTCGTTGACAGCCCCCAAAGGTAACATTATGTTTGAGTTACCTTCTGTTACCTCAACCTCCCCCATACGGCAGGGTGGTCGATCTCCCCTTGAGATGAGAAAACTATGTGAGAAACTCTCTGCAGATCACCTGAAGAGTAGGCAAGGTTCAGGTTCATGAGCAATATTCTAGTTGGTCCTGTGTTTTATACTACAGCCGTATCATGATTCGAGACACATGCCTCTTCGACGATAAGCATCTGAAATGGTGCCCTTTTCTTCAGCAACCAAGATTGTAGAAGCTTCTGAAATAAGTGCCGTTTCATTTTCCACTGAATATCAGTCGCGCATTTGATCATGGACAAACTCCCATAGAATTTGGCCTGACCTTTAAGCGACCATTCCGAGTCACTAGACCGCTCTGCAATGACCAATAGCTTGATATCTGTCAGCGACACACCAAGTTTTCCTATAACCCCTCCTTTTTTCGGCCTCCAGACGAAGTGTAACTTAATATTATATAGCATTGGTATTGCGAGTTTGACACGCTGCTTTTGCCGTTCCGATTGTGTGGTTGGTCGAGGTAGCTGACATTGCCCCGATTGTCGGAATGTTCGCCATATTTGACTCAATAAAGTAATAATTGTCCACAAAAACACTAAAGTATGAAGATGTCGCCAAGTAAGGCCGAAGACTTCGTGGAATGGTTCGTATATGCTAGCGGCAACATTGAATGCGTATTGACTTTGTAGAGGCTCATTTCGTATGACCATTACTGCCCCCTGTTCTTGACTCGAGTATTGCTTTATTGTTTCTGTATATATTAACATTAAAAATTCTGCAAACTCTTCGGCTTGTCGTTTTGCTCTGGGGGACCATACTGACAGCGTCTTGCAAGCAAAGATGGGAGTTGATAGGCATTGTATACAGTATGTAGTTTCACCTTTATGGCTTTGGCGTAGCAACAAAAGCTAATGACTCGTTAACTTTCCTCAAAAGGTAGTAGCCACACATGCAGTCATAAAGCTCAAACGTGGGTGCAGTTTGCCCCTGCGCATTACCTTCCGCGATTGTTGTTTCGTGACTTTAGGTCAGATGGTGATAATGCTGAGGGGTCAAGATATGGGGGGAGACTGCGACGGCAAACGAGTCTTTTTATAGCATCGCTTAGTTTAATTTCTACCCCTCATCATCATGCATGTATCCCGTCGATCTGTGTCTTCTTTACTGTCGAAACTTTACGTGTTCTTAGAGTCATAAGGGTTGCTGTTCGATTTTGGTGATCCTTGACAATCCAATGTACTTGACAGGAAAAGGTGTGAGAGCCATATCATACTGTCTAATTGTCCCCAAGCTACTCTAGAATCGTTTTACAGGCCCAAATATGACATAAAACCGGAACTGTTCCCTGGATGTGCTTTCTGTAGCGCTTTTGTGATTGTATATGCGGCTTCGGTCTTAAAGTTTGTTCTCAACTTGAATCGTCATCAATTCGCTTGTGCCATGCTCGATGATGTGCCTGAGCAGTCTTGTAAATCACTTTGTGGTTATACACGTGTTGGCGAAGAAAGCTCTGGATAATTGCAATTTTTTCATTAGAATTTTCTTCCCATTCATTCCTACTATCTTCACATCCCATTCTGAGGATGAACCTTAATCTCCTTAAGGCTGGCAGCCAAGGAGTGAGACTTGTACTCAGAGTACAACTTTCGAAGCCTCTTTTTAGAGCAACCGCGAAAGGTGTCTTGAATGTCGGTCCAGTAGTGCCCTTGATTCCTTAAGTCAACAAGCCGCTTGATATCTATGTCCACGGGCCTGCTATTTATTACACTGCCAGGACGCAATTGCTTGTACCGCCTCGACACCGCGACTGGCCTGTGGTGTAATTGTTGGGCAATGACTCCAAATTCCAAACACTCTTCTTCCCTTAGTCGAATAAGAGTCCGATCTTCGTCGTCAGTGAACAAGAATTTAGATTCTCTCAGTACCCTTACCTGGCTTTTCAACGAACGTAAAGTGTGACCGGGAAAGCGGTCTTGTAATACCTGCCAAGTGGTACCCTTCTCGTAAAGATCAAGAAGAGCATCTCTATCCTCCTCCGTGTACTTGGTACGTTTGGGATGTGGGGCAGAATCTCGCACGCCAGGCTTGCGAGGATCCGTTGTGCAGCAAACCTCACTAGTGTAGGGTGACGAGCATGGCGTCTCCACCGTGAACCGATATGACGGCATACTAGCCCTATGGTCATGAAGTGGTAAGGCCCCACGGATTCCCAGGATGCGTTGTAATCGGGTGTCGACGGCGATTATCTGGTCATCGGTGAGGCATTTTAAAGACCAGATAAGGGCTAACGGTTGTAACCCTACCAATGGCTTCTCTTTCCTGAGGTCCCTATTATCTTCTATCCACTTGTTGATGGCGCATCCGCTCGAATCCCGGTCAGGCTGTAATTGAACGTCGAGTTCTGCAAACGACGACTGCGCTTCTCCGGCCCAGCAGAGTTGCTGTTCGTTGACCTTGGCGCTGTGAAGAATAATTTCCGCCAGAGCAGAACAGGCGCCATCATACTCTTCAGAGGTTTGATAATTGGGGACCTTGTAAGTCCAGGTCGCGCATCTCATAATGATTGAGTTCAGGAGGATTCGTGCACATGTCAGCATATTCAGAAGCATCAGCAGCCAGGGGTCCGTATTGTTAGAGCTAATACCCTGTGTACTCTTTAACAACTCCTCCCACCTGGCTTTGCAAGCTCGATCATGAGCTTGACACCGCTTAAGCATGACTTCGACTACTTCTCTACGTCCGGACGGACCAAGAAGAGCCGTAGCCTCCGCGCCAAGCGAAGCCACTCCAACGTAAAGCTGTTGGGTCGAAGTGTATTCATCGTCTTCGGACCACCAGAGCTCCTTGTCCTTTTCATCTTCCAGTGTTGCGAGACTATATATTACCTGTTGGAAGTTAGCTATTAGAAAGTCTACATCACGATGTAAACAGTAAAGTTGAAGATCAAATCGATAAAATCGTAGAGTTGAGAAGTTTATGGAAATCTTACCATTAAAGTGCGGGTTGCCCTGAATAACATGTGTCCAATTCGGGTGTCAGTCTGTTTGTGACCGCGTCCTCGGGCCAATTCAATAGCACCCTGTACGTGATTGCGCCAGCTTTCTTGCTCCCCAGTCGTAGGATTTAAGCATTCGAACAGGGCTAGAAGTAAAACTGCAGCCAAGGTTGCATCCTCATAAACGACATCTGGATCTTGAAGTGCGCTATGCATCGCCATCAGTGCTTTATTGTATGTCTCAATAGTCAAGCTTTTGTATTCAAGCTGCCCACCCGTCTCATTGATGAACGACGCCATAGCGCAAGCTTCAAATGCCAGTCGGTAATGCTCCCATGCCTCGTCGCTCTTCAATAGGATAACACCCATATCGTCGGTTTTGTTCTGGCTAGGTGATTCAAGATCATAATGATACATAAAGAAAGCAATAGCCCTTTCTGGCAAAGGCATCTCGGGACAAGCCGAGGGGTGCAGCTGTACAGATCCAGCGTTTGGTGAATGTGAGGTAACTTCTTCATCCTGTGATAAGGCCTTCAGGGCTTTATTCTTTTCAAATTTCCTGCTGAAAGATTCCAAATATTTGTGTCGAGCAGTAATGTCTTCTCCGTCTCTGGATGCGGTACAGTTTCTGCCAGACTCAATGCACCGCGTACAGGGCCAGGGCCAGACACACTAGATAGTCTTCATGTTAGAATTTCAGCTATTATTGCCAGTTTATGTAATCTCTGGATTGTGTATATACCTTGACCTTGCGCTTTTTGCAAGCCTGGCAAGCTTTTGGACACCTGCCGATATGGACCATAGTAGCAACGAATGTGGTCGACGCGGTGTAATACCAGATCGGAGTTTTAGTATGTTAGGAGACTTGCATGGACTCCGTCATGAACTCTTACTCTGTTCACATTGGGAATTCTTCGTATCCAGAAGCAGACCGGAAGGCTTCTTGTATTTATGCATCGCCATCAACTACGGATCAGCCTCCGTAGTAACAACGTGGCTTGTCCAACACGCGCTGAACATCAATGCGAACCCCCAAATCTGGGTAAAAGGGGCCGTCAAAAAAGTTTAGATCACCGATGTGACGAAACATCTTGCCGCCAACATGACCCCCTTCACCAAACTTTTGCCCGATAGAACCGCATTCTTCACATGCAGGGCTGTCAAGTCTCCTGGTGATGATACTGGACTTGCTCGATGGCCACTCCGCCGTATTAGAAAACCTGGTGTGTTCCCCATCCGGAAGACATTCAGTTGCTAAAAGGCTATTGGAGTATGCAATGCTTCCGTCGTTGGATTTGTTGATATTGCCATTGACTTCATCCTCGGCTGCATCTGCACGGGAAGCATTATCAGAGGACTGGTCGCCTTCGTTGATATCTTCTTCAACAACTCTTGGACTGTTCGGAACGGTAACCTCATCACTATTGCCGTCACTCTCAGAAGATATTTCGATTATTTCATGAGGCAAGTAAAAGGACTTGCAAGAAGTAGGGTCCAAATTGCGACTTTGGGCATCGACCTTGCGTTGACAAACACCCTCGTAAGGGTTTTTTTCGGGTGTGTTCGGCGGGGCTGTCAGGCTGGTCTCGGTTTCCATTTCGATGCTTGTAGAAGTGCCTGCTTGTTTATGAACACCAGCTCATGAAAGTGGTCGTAGCTGGTATGAAGATATCACCTCGTTTCATGGAGGTGAAATGTTGAGGTTGAGGTATTTATAGGCCATTATAAGAAAGTCTTCAACCTTTTAAAATGTCACCATTGAATGCTCAAGGCGGTTGGAGCAAACCATCCTAGGATTTGGATTGCGCTGCTCCTGAATGCACCGGATGTGAAAGGGGCCGGACCCATATCGTACTATTGAATGTTCACTGAGCTAACTTGGAATTGCACCACAGGCAACAATGTAAGCCGCAGATCCTAGAGATATAGTCTAGCCGAAACTAGATTGCAGAGACCGGGGGTGAAGAGTGAGAAGACATGGGAACGTATCAAATTGAATGGGAGGCTTTGTCATAGCTTAGGACAAAGCGCGTTCGCTGAGGCCTCAAGGCTGTCAAAATTTCCGGGATGATAGTTCCTCGTTGACAGCCCCCAAAGGTAACATTACGTTTGAGTTACCTTCTGTTACCTCAACCTCCCCCATACGGCAGGGTGGTCGATCTCCCCTTGAGATGAGAAAACTATGTGAGAAACTCTCTGCAGATCACCTGAAGAGTAGGCAAGGTTCAGGTTCATGAGCAATATTCTAGTTGGTCCTGTGTTTTATACTACAGCCGTATCATGATTCGAGACACATGCCTCTTCGACGATAAGCATCTGAAATGGTGCCCTTTTCTTCAGCAACCAAGATTGTAGAAGCTTCTGAAATAAGTGCCGTTTCATTTTCCACTGAATATCAGTCGCGCATTTGATCATGGACAAACTCCCATAGAATTTGGCCTGACCTTTAAGCGACCATTCCGAGTCACTAGACCGCTCTGCAATGACCAATAGCTTGATATCTGTCAGCGACACACCAAGTTTTCCTATACCCCCTCCTTTTTTCGGCCTCCAGACGAAGTGCAACTTAATATTATATAGCATTGGTATTGCGAGTTTGACACGCTGCTTTTGCCGTTCCGATTGTGTGGCCGGTTGAGGCAGCTGACATTGCCTTGATTGTTGTAATGTTCGCCATATTTGACTCAATAGTGCAATAATTGTCCACAAGAATACTAAAGTATGAATATGTCGCCAAGTACGAACGAAGACTTCGTGGAACGGTTCGTATATGCTAGCGGCAACATTGAATGCGTATTGACTTTGTAGAGGCTCATTTCGTATGACCATTACTGCCCCCTGTTCTTGACTCGAGTATTGCTTTATTGTTTCTGTATATATTAACATGAAAAGTTCTGCAAAATCTTCAGCTTGTCGTTTTCTATGCTCTGGGGGAACCATACTGACAGCGTCTTGCAAGCAAGGATGGGAGTTGATAGGCATTGTATACAGTATGCAGTTTCAATTTTATGGCTTTAGCGTAGCGACAAAAGTTAATCACTCATTAACTTTCCTCAAAAGATAGTAGCCACACATGTAGTCATAAAGCTCAAACGTGGGTGCAGTTTGCCCCTGCACATTACCTTCCGCGAATGTTGGTTCGTTGCTTTAGGTCAGATGGTTGATAATGCTAAGAGGTCAAGTTATGGGGGAAGACTGCGACGGCAAACGAGTCTCTTTATAGCATCGCTTAGTTTAATTTCTACCCCTCATCATCATGCATGTATCCCGTCGATCTGTGTCTTCTTTACTGTCGAAACTTTACGTGTTCTTAGAGTTATGAGGGTTGCTGTTCGATTTTGCTGATCCTTGATGACCCAATGTAATTGAAAGGAAAAGCTATGAGAGCCATACAATACTATGTAATGGTCCCCAAGCTACTCTAGAATTATATTACAGACCCAAATATGACATAAACCTAGACCTATTTTTTGGCAGTGCTTTCATGATTGTATCTGCGGCCTCGCTCGTAAAGTTGATCACCAACTTGAATAGTCATCAATCCGTTTGTGCCATGCTCAACGATGTGCCTGGGGAGGCTTGTGAATCGCGCCACGAGATACCGTCCTTGTAAAGTTCAAGTAGAGTATCATCATCCTCTTGCGTGTACCGAAAGCGTCCCGTGGAAGGTGGGGAAGAATCTCGCGAACTAGCTTCGGGAGTATCCGTTGCGGGTTCGGAAAGACTGGGCGAAGGTCGTGTGCACGCCTCAGTGGTATAGGATGGCGAGTGGGGTATTTGCTCCACCGTACTAGCCCTATCGTCATGAAGCGGTAAGGCCCCACGGATTCCCACGATGCGTTGTAATCGGGTATCGACGGCGATTTTCTGGTCATCGGTGAGGCATTTTAAAGACCAGATAAGGGCTAACGGTTGTAACCCTACCAATGGCTTCTCTTTCCTGAGGTCCCTATTATCTTCTATCCACTTGTTGATGGCGCATCCGCTCGAATCCCGGCCAGGCTGTAATTGAACGTCGAGTTCCGCAAACGAGGACTGCGCTTCTCCGGCCCAGCAGAGTTGCTGTTCGTTGACCTTGGCGCTGTGAAGAATAATTTCCGCCAGAGCAGAACAGGCGCCATCATACTCTTCAGAGGTTTGATAATTGGGGACCTTGTAAATCCAGGTCGCGCATTTCAGAATGATCGAGTTCAGGAGGATTCGTGCACATGTCAGCATATTCAGAAGCATCAGCAGCCAGGGGTCCGTATTGTTAGAGCTAATACCCTGTGTACTCTTTAACAACTCCTCCCACCTGGCTTTGCAAGCTCGATCATGAGCTTGACACCGCTTAAGCATGACTTCGACTACTTCTCTACGTCCGGACGGACCAAGAAGAGCCGTAGCCTCCGCGCCAAGCGAAGCCACTCCAACGTAAAGCTGTTGGGTCGAAGTGTATTCATCGTCTTCGGACCACCAGAGCTCCTTGTCCTTTTCATCTTCCAGTGTTGCGAGACTATATATTACCTGTTGGAAGTTAGCTATTAGAAAGTCTACATCACGATGTAAACAGTAAAGTTGAAGATCAAATCGATAAAATCGTAGAGTTGAGAAGTTTATGGAAATCTTACCATTAAAGTGCGGGTTGCCCTGAATAACATGTGTCCAATTCGGGTGTCAGTCTGTTTGTGACCGCGTCCTCGGGCCAATTCAATAGCACCCTGTACGTGATTGCGCCAGCTTTCTTGCTCCCCAGTCGTAGGATTTAAGCATTCGAACAGGGCTAGAAGTAAAACTGCAGCCAAGGTTGCATCCTCATAAACGACATCTGGATCTTGAAGTGCGCTATGCATCGCCATCAGTGCTTTATTGTATGTCTCAATAGTCAAGCTTTTGTATTCAAGCTGCCCACCCGTCTCATTGATGAACGACGCCATAGCGCAAGCTTCAAATGCCAGTCGGTAATGCTCCCATGCCTCGTCGCTCTTCAATAGGATAACACCCATATCGTCGGTTTTGTTCTGGCTAGGTGATTCAAGATCATAATGATACATAAAGAAAGCAATAGCCCTTTCTGGCAAAGGCATCTCGGGACAAGCCGAGGGGTGCAGCTGTACAGATCCAGCGTTTGGTGAATGTGAGGTAACTTCTTCATCCTGTGATAAGGCCTTCAGGGCTTTATTCTTTTCAAATTTCCTGCTGAAAGATTCCAAATATTTGTGTCGAGCAGTAATGTCTTCTCCGTCTCTGGATGCGGTACAGTTTCTGCCAGACTCAATGCACCGCGTACAGGGCCAGGGCCAGACACACTAGATAGTCTTCATGTTAGAATTTCAGCTATTATTGCCAGTTTATGTAATCTCTGGATTGTGTATATACCTTGACCTTGCGCTTTTTGCAAGCCTGGCAAGCTTTTGGACACCTGCCGATATGGACCATAGTAGCAACGAATGTGGTCGACGCGGTGTAATACCAGATCGGAGTTTTAGTATGTTAGGAGACTTGCATGGACTCCGTCATGAACTCTTACTCTGTTCACATTGGGAATTCTTCGTATCCAGAAGCAGACCGGAAGGCTTCTTGTATTTATGCATCGCCATCAACTACGGATCAGCCTCCGTAGTAACAACGTGGCTTGTCCAACACGCGCTGAACATCAATGCGAACCCCCAAATCTGGGTAAAAGGGGCCGTCAAAAAAGTTTTCTTCTGTTACTGGGGCGCTACCCTAGTAAATCAACAAGGGACCTGGCGTATCGAGATCAAGCCCGCATCAAGGGTGCTTGCGCGTATAGGACAGAGAGCGGTCAACATCGAACATGATGTTGAATGTTGCGCCAGGGGCAGCGAAGGAAGACAATATGGAGAAGAACACTGTTTATTGTGTCGTATACAAAGTTAGAGGAAGATATACACCGCTTTACGCTGCAATCTAATAGCTTGAATAACCTGTGCTGGATTGAGAACAGGCCACCTTTCCAGTGCTCCTAAATAATAACATTCCCGCACTAATCCTGTTCGGTCACAGATGAAAATGAGCAAATACGTCATTAAATTAGTCCACCAATTTTAGGAGCCGTTCCGGAGTTGGTGTGCCCTAATCCCCTGTAGGGAAGCATCCCTAGGGTTCTCAAGAGACGGGAAGCCCTCGCTATGGATTCCATATGGTAAGTTGGTCAAGAATCTTCCTCTGGCTGGCTTTCAACCCAGATTCGCAGCTGATCTGCGGCGCCGAAGTTATAGTCGTCGAGTTCTATTGGGCCGTGTGCCATTGTCTTGTATCCACTAAACGGATCCGTTGATGCTGATATGCTGACTTGTAGCTCGATAGCTGTTCCAGCATGGTGGTCAAAAGCCATCCATTCACCAGATCTTAGAAGGGCACCGAACATCAACAGTTGGCCTTGATGTAAATGTACGTGACTAAATACAATGCACAAGTCCTCGGGCGATGGGGTGACCTGCATCGAGCGTGGAAATAAGCTCTGTATCTTGCAACCAATAGATGAATAAATTTGCAATTGGGAGAGCGGAAAGGAATTATCTTTGTCAAGCTTAAGCAGTGAATAAAACTCCCGTTGCAGCCGAGATGATTGCGTGTTTCTCATTCGTAGTGTTATGTCCTGTCTTCCAACTAGCTCGACGTCAAATGCGTGGTTAATGAATCGGATTCCCCTGGTAGAAGGGGACACGCAAAAGGCCATTAAAGAAATCTTGGTCTGATGGGATTTTAGCTGTCTGGATGTCCAGTCGGTTTTTGAATCTTTACCTCGTCTGTATCAGGGCGCGTGGGACCCCATAAGCTGATCCAATCTGAGGCCATGGTGGCTCTGTCGACATGTAGTGAAAAATGAAAATAGGTCTGCTGGTGGCGAAACGGTTTCAATAGGCTCAGGAGATATAATATTGGCAGTACACATTGTAGGGCTCATGGGTATTTATATTGTGTTCATGCACTTTCAGTCTCTAACATGATTCGTCCTCGCATACATTTTGCCAGACGATCAGTTTTCTGTAGTACTTGTGCCATCCTGAGCTTGCAAGTCCCCCCACTTATCCCAGTCAATTTCGCAGCCAACTTCGACAATTGTGTCTCGACATTCGTTCCAGTGACTCTTAAATCCTGGGCAAGTGTCCATTAGATCACCGATGTGACGAAACATCTCCATAAGGAGACTGTTTAAGCATTCTTCAGATTCAGGGACCCCCCTCCGCCTTGGGTGCGATAGAAACTTAGTCCCAGCACGCCACATTTATGCCAGTGTTCGAATAGACCATCGCCACCAGTAAGGGTTTGGAGCTGTGCTGTCGGAAAAGGGAGATCGAGAATCTTGAACAGGTCATCGTATGATGCTGCCATGGCTGCATATATCGATTTGAACCTTTCAAGTTCCTCGGTGTTCCACTTCGATGGTTCCGTTACCAACAGCTTGTCTAAATTGGCTTCACTCTGCGAGATAGACTCTTGGGTTTTCAACACCTCCAGCTCAAGGTCTCGAGAATTGCCTAGATTGCAAGATCTGCCATGAAGCATAACATTGCCAAGCGCAGGATTCGGTTGGCGTAACAAACCAAATATATCGTATTTCCACTTCGCGATTTTGTATTCGGTGGAGTATGTAGGCTCCGTGTTGTCAGTTGCCGCTGCCCAACTCCTGTGGTCTTCTTCCGTCATGACTGGCTCCTGCTCAGCAGCGGTGGTAACCATGAAATAAGCTACAAAACGTTAATTTTCGAGTCCTTACATCAAGTAGAGACCACAATACCTTGCGTCATAATCTCATCCAGCTCGTCTTTTGGCGCATTATTCTCGATGATCTTTGTCCAGTGCGCCCAATCGCAGATCAATGGGAAGAACTGGACAGGGACGTATGCTCCATTGGCACAAGACGATTCCATGGCAAGCTTTTAAATGAACAGAGGCCACTGAATCTACTGTGTGGATTTCCTAACTGTTAGGGCGGATGGTCGCCTTTATATACCCATTCTGAATACCCTCTGCCCATACTGATACCCTGCCCAGATCACAACTGTCAATCAAGTTCAACACCCTCTCCAGATTAGCTATAGTCTTACCTCTCGCGTAGCTAAGGCATATGTCCCGACATGTTGTCCACTTTTCTTGTATTCTATTAACACTCTGCATTTCCTGATTCACCAGATACGCGTCTGGTCGCCATGCCCCGTCATTATGGGGCCGGTTGCGCAGTCCGATTCGACCTGTCCTGAAGGCACCGGGTGCCATTGGTCTATTCTAGGAGCTTGTTCGTATTCCTGTCCAGGTCCAATGTGTTGGATAGTCGGCAATGGCCCTTCCATAGCTCTCAGGGGTGGTCTATTTTCACTTGCTGAGGCCGCTGCTGGTGATGGACAACGGGGAGGGTCCCTGTAAAAATGATTCTGAGGGGCTGCCAACCCGGTCAGGGCCATGTTGGGAGGCAGCCCTGATTCAATAGGGCTTGTCCATTCTTCCCTCTTTGGTCGCTGTGCTGCATAGTCCACAGAGCCAAGATTGCTTGCATAATCTCGGGTTGGTGTTGGCATGAGGTGCTGAAACACAGGGCTCTGATCCGTATGCGAACCAACACTTGTGGTGAGAATTTGGTTTCGAGGCCCGGCTGCATGCTGATGAATTCCAGCTGTCCTGCATACGATATGTCGAAGTTGGTTTATCTCCTGCTGGTCAAAATCACGTTGTCGCCTCAAGTGATCTATCTCTTCAGACATTTGCCGTACTTTATCCCTAAGTTCCTGCAACTCTCTTATGTTGTCCCCCTGTATCTCAATTTGCTTCTGGCGGTATTTTATTGATGCTTTCGCCTGGAGGTGTCGTTCATATGCTTTCATAGAGGCTTGCGACATCTGAACAAGTATTGGGGTATTGCTGCCTGGCAGCGCCACATACCAACCTCCCCGGTCCGCTTCTTGTTCATACTGTACTCCTGTAGATGGTTCTGTGGTCTTTTCCATAAATACTGTTTTTGCTTGTGGATTTTGCCGTTGTTCAAATTCGGATATGGTTGCTGGAACTGTTTAAGTGAAGTGAATAAGCGTGGTTGTCTTCGGTCACTATCTCATTCCGGTCCTCGAGAGGGTCAATATGCATCTGTTGTGTTTTAGAGATAGTGAAGACTTCAGGAAAGGACTCGGCGCGGGCAAGCAACAGTTATACTGGCTTGTCTTTATGTCCAGGCTGTAACCAAAATGCTGATGATGGGGTTGGACTGATATAAACGTCAAACATTTGCAGGGGAATCGTGTGATATGAATTCTCTCTTTCCTCCTTGTGAACAATCGGTTTCTCCACGTCGCACTCGATCTCGTTCGTGCCCTTGTACCGTCGCACCTAAGGGGAAAACACATTTGGTATTATCAGTCTCAGTCTTCACTTTTTTGTACAACGAAACCGGCTAATTCCGCAAGGCGATCTAATAAGTCCTCCATTTTTTTCACCCTCGCAGAATCCCTCTCATTTACTGGTTTATATGTATGCATCAAGTAAATTGCTGACGGCTTAGTTTCGGTAATAATTCCTTTAATGTGCTGGCGAGCATTGTACCACCCAGTTTTTTGAGGAATTTTAGTTGCTTCCAAAACGGCCTCGTAATCCAGCACGTCGCCTGGTTCGACCAAGCTCCGTGCAGCCCAGCTCAGACGTAGTTTTGAGCCCGAAATCGTTTGGAACCTGTCGAGAACCCTCTTACAGGGAGGACATGGGTGGAAGTCGCACTTTAGTGTTGTGTTATTGACGCAACTAACGTCTTCGTCGCATTTGCATGGCTCTGTAAAGTGAATATGGCAGCAACAAAGGCTGACGTGATGTTCTGTCATGTGCATTGTTTGGTAGCCTTGCTTGTTGGTAGGGCAGGAGGCAAAGTAGTGTAGGGGTCGCTGAAAAAATAAATGGCAATAAGAAGCAGATTTTAAAGATTTATATGAATTAAAAATAAACAGAGACCTAGGTGATAAAATGCAGCAGCGACGGAAAGTGTTGGTTTATATAGACGTTGACATGGATTTAAGCTGACCGCAGGCCCTTCACGCCATTGGTAGCTTTTAATTACTCCAAGGATAACCTTGCAAGGTGTCTTACTTCTCTAGGCCGGTTTGATTGCAATACTTTTATTTCAGGCCGTACTACAAGCTATTTATTCCGTTGAACTCTGAATTGCTTGGTTCATGGTTTGGCGGTCTTCCGTTCACACGGACCCGAAAAGGGTATTCCTACTCTGCACAGGCAAGTTGTCTTTCATATGAACTTATGATTGGCAGAATCAGTAGTATTAAGGATTATGCGAAGCTAAGAGAACAGAACATGCAATCGGCATGGCTGGTCTAATTCGCCGCTCATATCGACGCTGCTAACTTACACCTCTCCCGTTCCCATACAGTATGACCAAACTTTTTGATCACGAGATCCTTTGCCTCCTCTATGGCCTGCTTCCCACGTAATTGGTCGCATGCCAAAAAGCTGGGCGCCCAAAGTACTTCAACTTCAATGGATCCGTTTGATGTTTGACGCGCATCCCCTAAACCCTTGTACTCGAACGGTTTGAGCGTCGGGGCCAAAGCGTGTTTCTTTTCACGAGATTGCGAGGCCGCGCTTCGAGTATTGTACCTCCGCCCCTGGACCCCATATTTCGAAATTCCGCGCTGGGGTTTACCGGCGGGTTTCATATTCGAGTAGCTAGTCTCATGGTTCGGTTCGTGTTGATCTGAAGGAGACTCAACAACTACACTGGCAGTTAGCGAAGCGCGGTACTACGCATAAACAAATCTTACACTTATCTGGTGAACCATGGCGCTGGCACGATTTTACCTGCTCATTGACAGGGTTTTCGTAGTGAGAAAGGAGTGCATCAAGACGGCTGGTAGCCAACGGCGTGGCTAGAGGCGTTGTCTCAGGCTTCTTCTTTCCAGTCGCCTGTTGCAATGAAGCGGAAGTCGAAACATTCGATTCAATACTGACATTATCATGATTGTGTGTCGAAGGAGGTTTGTCAGAGTTGCTGCGGTTGTTCCATTCAACATTGTCGAAGTCATCGCAGCTGTTCACGCTGGCGGGTGAGGATGCAATCGTTATCACCGTGGCGCAGCAGGAGCCAGGCGTCCGTGAGGTAGCGTAGGGCAAGTCTTCCACCGCAGACATATACGGTGGCAATCCCGGCTTCTCATTCTGGAATAATAGGATGCTATGAATTTCATGCTGTAGCCCAGTGTGTTCTATTTTCTCAGCGAAAGCGGTTTTCTGATCCTCGGTGAGGCAATCTAGAGACCAGATAAAGGCAATTGGCCAGGCCATAGAATGTCGTCGGAATCCTGGTAATGACTTCTCTTGCATCAAGTTTGCGGATGAAGACGACGCCTCTGAGGCCCGGCTCAGTTGGCGTTTGTTGGTGGTGAAATCGTCGAAAAGAATTTCCTTCAAAATAGAAAACGCGTCAAGAAATTCTTTCGTCGTTGTATAACTGGCGTGCCCATGGATGCATGCTGCGCATCTAATGATAATTGAGTTCAAGAGGATTCGTGCACATGTCAGCATGTTCCAAGGCATAGACAACCAAAGTCCTGTGTTATCAGAAGTAGCTCCCCATTCCGAACAGGGTCTTTTGCGCTTCATGTTGCGTTGGGCATTATCGAGCATCTTCTCCCACCAATTTTTACACACTTGATCATGGTCCAGGCACTGTTCAAGAATTTCCCTAGCAATATCATTCTCATTCCGAGGACCAATAAGAGATTTTGCCCTATGGCCAAGCGAACTGACCTCGATACAGAGCTTTTGAGTCGGACTATATTCATCCACAATATCGTCTTGGACCAGCCAGAGCTCATGGTCGTCCCATTCTTCTAGGTTTATGAGATGATACATGATCTATGAGAAGTTAGTCATTAAATACCCAGTCTATCTCGTGGCTGGTATTTATAACCGAAATAAGGCAAAGGATTAAACATTCCGCGGAAGCTTACCATTTGTGTGCGAACCGCCATTAACAATGCACGTCCAGTTTTTGTTTCACGCAGCTGGCAGCCCCTATCTTCAGCTAACTTGCTAGCACCAATTATGTGATTGCGCCAGGCGCGCTGATCACTAGTCGTAGGATTGATGCATTCAAATAAAGCCAGGAGTAAAACAGAAGCCAATGTTGCGTCCTTGTGCATGATGGCCGGATCTTGAAGTGCAGCATTCGTTGCTACTACTGCTTTATCGTACTCCTCAGTGGCGGAAGTTCTGTGATCACGCCGGTCTACAGTCTCTTGTATGAATACCGCCAGGGTGCAAGCTTCAAACGCTAGCCTATAGTGTCTCGATTCCTTATTGATCTCCAGTAGAACAGAAAAACCTGTATAGCAGATATTGCTCAGGTTAGACGAGTCAAGAACGTAGTTAGACATAAAGTAGGCGTTTGCTCGTTCTTGAAGAGTCATCTGGGGAGCATCAGAGGTGCAAAGTAGCACATCTCCTCCTTCTGGTGATGGATCTGACGCAGCCGTCTCATCTCGTGATGAAACCACGGCCTGCAGTGTAGGATATCTGGGCAGGAGTCCTGATGTGGTTTTCAGGCGTTTGTTCATTGTGTCTTTCATGTTAAAAGGTTCGAAATATCGGTGTCGAAAAGTAATATCTGCGTCGGTTTTAGGCTCGGAACAGTTTCTTCGACTTCGCGCACTGGTTGCAGGGCCACCACTCATCGCACTAGATTGAGTCCACGTTAGACCTTCAGTCATTGTAAAATTTGGTCAATCCTCCTCCGACCGTGAACAAAGGATACGCCTTGATTCTGCACTCTCTGTAGGTCTCGCAACCCTGTGTTGTGATGCGGCCACGGTATGGGATTCCTGATGGACCCTGTTATGAGCTCTTGAGTAAAATCTGTGTCAGAGTAATAAAGATTATAGAGAGTCAATTCGCCTTGATCACGATTCAAGTCAAGTGGACGAAAGTCCCAGTTATATACACAGCAGTGTCCAAGTGGGCCAGGACGCTTCCTCGACTTGGGCGGAATATCGTTTGACAAATTGTAGTAAGGCGGCTGCTCCGCCAATTTACTACCGGCACGCTTTGTGTTTGATGGACGGTTCTCGGCTTTGAGGCGGATTCTGAAAACCGCATGGATATCCGCAGGAACCGCATGCCAATCCTCTGATGTACGTGGTTTGATCGCACCCGTTGTCACAGACGTAAACTAGCGCGTTGGCCATGGAGAGACTGCGGCTCACCGCATGATAGAATGGTTGATATGCGAGGCCGTCGCGGCTAGGTTACAGTGGGGTGAACCGTAGCAAAAGAAGCAAAGAAACGATGAGAATTGTGAGTCTGCTGAGTACCCATGCAAGTTCTAACATACGTGAGCTCTACTTTATATTGTGTTTAAGCAGGTGGATTGCAAGTATTGCGCTGTGTCCTTCCTAGCTACCCTGGCTCAGCTTGCACACACCGCTCTGTTCTGCATGACAATGGATGTATTGTATTAACGGTACACTATGCATTTTCTTTCCCAGTCACAAGCTCAATTTCGGAGCCACTCGGCATTGTGTCTGTTCTGGATATTTTCGATGGTGACATCGCATACCTTGCATCTCCAGGTATCACATTGCTACTCAGTCCCAACTTCTCGACCTTGATCTTGAGAAGCCTCCTAGCTCGTGTGACAACATCCAAGATCCCAATAATGACAAATAATCCATTTTGAATCTAATTCATTAGTATCTACATGGCATAATTAGAAGAGATGCTTACCAGTTTGTAATCAATGCGCGATAATCTGTCAGAAAGCGAGAGAAATGACAGTGCAAACCCGGCGACTTCGAAAGGAATGCGGATGTTGACAGGAACCCAGCTCTTTCCGGGCGGCTGCTTTAATCTCTTCTGTCGTATATACGCTAGAATACGCATAATGCAGTATCCAAATGCCATCGATCCGCGAAAGAAAACTACAGCCAACATCGTCAAATAAGGAGTGAACGTCCCAATTCGCACGTCCACTGCGAAAAAGCCGATGTCCACTGATAGCAAAACCATACCGAGAACAGATAAGATTTGTAAGAATCTCTTAATAGACGTTCCTTGAGCTGTAGACAGTCCAAAGGCATCCGCTAGCATGCGTGTAAATACCACACTCTATGTTGATCTTAGCCTTATTATCCATTTGTACAAATTTGTACTCACCTCTAGGAGCATGCTCCAGAGCAACATCACAGATAACTCAATATCCGCCCAGTATTCCGGCATATGTTTTCCCAAACCAGTCCATGCCACCACCACCAAAAACACACCGACCACAAACCCTATCAATATAAGAAGCAACAACAAAGGCATGAACATCCTAGGTAGCTCGCCGCTTGTCGGTGAGTCATGTTGTATCAGTTTTGTAAGCAGTGCTGCTGCTGTAAGAATGAGAAATTGTGGCCCGAAACAAGTTGAAAGTCCAATTTGTTGACTCAGGGACAAAGCTGAATGCTCTTTCTGCTGCATAGTATCAGAGATGGAATGATGGCGCCAACAAGGCAACCAAATCACCGCCATTCCTGCAGGAGCAGCCTCATTATAAGGTCTTTTGTTGGACAATTACTCAGTTGTTCTCGTCGAAGATGAGATCTCATGCATGATGTGAAATGTACGACAATTCCCTGGCTCGGGAGGAGTCTCGCCGATGTGTGATAGCCATAGTGCGCATTTGTGATGACATGGATGTTGTGCATTGATACGGGACAGGTTCTTGGTCGCAAACGTTTTAGGAAATGATATGTTATTCAAAGCAGGTCGGCCAACACCCGGCACCTGATAGGGGCGTGCAGAAAGTCCCACGACTTGAATATCGTGGGACTTTTTGCACGCCCCTCCAGGTGGCCGACTTCCCTGCGACCACACTGATCCCCTGTCCTTCTCAGCTCCAGGTCAGCTGGGCTCACTTACAAGTTCAATTAGCAAGAAGTATATCGATACAATGGAAGAGCTCGTTACACCGATGAAAGGTGCAAGCACTGTCTATCCAATCTCTCGCGCCCGCCTCTTTCCCATTTTCCATTCTCTCTCGTGTTAAGTTTCTTTTATCAGCCAAGATGAATGTGCGCCTGTCGAAGCTCCACGATAAGTTTATGCGGCATGAAGTAGTTCAACATCCCGATTTCGAGAAGTGTATTACGGAGGAATCGATTTCTGGCAATCAATGGACTTTGCGTCTGTCTTATACTGATCAAAATCACGCGCGTATAGAAGACCATTTTGACATTCAAGTGATCGATCACCATTCCCTCCCTCATGTGACATGCAGTCTGACACGGTTCATGCACCGTGGTGGCCCTCGAAACGACACGAGGGAGGCATTATTCAAGCCAGGTAAATGGCTTGGTCCAGAAATGTACGTCTTTACCCGATGCAACTGAGCCTGTTGACTGATTATAGCATAGAGTTGTCAACCCGATTCAACATCAGAGCAAATCACCACGGCCTTCGTCGACCAGAAGCCTTGAACATCCCCCTCTGACGACCGTTTTAACGACACAAAACTCACGAGAAGACTCGCGAGTAGCTACACGCTCACCATCTACCACACCACAATCAAATCTCGCCTCTAGACGGGACCGCCCGAGCACGCCGGCCTCCATCGGGAGCAAAATCAACAAAAGAGAAAATAGTGTCGAGTATCGCATTCTCACTATTGGCAAAGCATTCGCCAAAGGCACCCAAATTCTTGTGAGTAAGCCCAAAGGCTCACTGCGCCAACGATTAGCAACAGTACGAAGATGTTTTCGCAGTACTATTGAGAAGGGCCCTTCTTGCCAGAGTATAACACTTCGAGATATGTGGGAACTATTGCAAGAGCAAGATGTTTCAGTAGGCGATGTTTACTTCAAAACGCGTTCTCATATTGAGAAACTCGAAAACGATGTGGGCTCTACCAGCAATGTGGCTACGTACATTGCTGGCGTAAGGGAATTTTACGGCTTGGACAAGATGGACAGTCCGCCACCTAAGGTTCGCGAATTACGAGGAAGGCAGCGTTTGGAACTAGCCTTTGATCGCATCATGAGCTTTATTAAAACACTAACAGCATATTATGAGGGTGATGTTGACATTGCAATTGGCATATTCACTTTTTTAGAAGGTAAACTACCAAGAAGCGCCTTGAAGTATAATCTTGCTAACCATCCAAGTTGGGGGATTTGGCTTTACTAACTTGGGCTGCACCGGCAAATGTGACGAGACCTTCTTACACGATGGAATTATCGCCTTAATTGATTTAGTGTTGCGACGTTTGGCTGCGAAAAATACTGAAACTGGGGAAGAAACCATTCCACTACTCAACCCAGTTGCCTTTCAATGGTGGTACGAAAGAGAGAATTGCAGTTACGAAGATATGTGTCAAAGGTTTGACCTACTGGCATTTAGCAGCGCCTCTCCTGAGATGTGTATTGAAAAACCCGTCACCACGATACTCAACAAAATTCGGCAACGATCACAGTCACTCACAAGGCTCGATGCCGAAGACGAAACCAACAGTGCTATCGAACATACCAGTCCCACTACCGAGGCAGATTGTGCTGACAAATCAAAGAATCTCCTTCTCCAGATTGCCCCGAGACTTGCCAAGTATATGACCCCCAGGAATAAGGATACATACGTGGACAGATTCAAGGGAGATGACGAAGAGCAAGAAAACATGAGGCTGGCCCTGAGAATACTGAAAGGAGAAGCATTGAACGATGAACTCTTGTCGACATCGTTAGATGTAGTCTATGCGATAGTTGACATTCTATTGTATAGCCCTACCATGGTACAGCGAAGATCGCAGCCAGATGAGAAGAGAAGGCGATTGGAACATGAAATGGACCGAGACACAAGGATTGACGCCTCAGAAGTCCAAAGCAGTCTTCAAGAATTGCCATTGCCGCCTGCCCTGCTCGAGAATAACGCCGAAGACCAGCATGTGCCGCCGGAAATGGATCAGATCATTTCTGAAAATCAGGGTCGGATAGGATTAGGAGAATGGACTGGCTGCAATTTCACAGGGGGTATGGACTATGACTTTCTCCTGAACCAGGCCTTTGGCTCTGCCGGAACATCAAATCATTTCGGAAGTATCGTCGATCCGTCCCAATTTGACTCACAATTTGTTCAATCGACCTATCCTGAAGGCGCCGATTTTGGAGGCATGGATGCAAGTGACGGCCTTCAACTGTTCAGTTGGCAAGTCTTCCCCAACAACGACTGGTCAGGCTCAGCAGATGTTGCCAGTGGTGGGTTTTTCCACGATAACCACCTGGGTTAGGAACCTAGTGTACAATATTTTTATGGAAATGATCTCAATTCTCATACTATTCTAAACGTCTCTTACAGGCCGTACCATTAAGTAATACGGCACTTTAAGACGGAATTTAGTGTTCGGAAGTATGACCACCATGTCCTCCTTGCCAGCATCGACAAAACTGCTCTCCGAAAAAGGCTCCCCAATTTGTGCCAACCAAATGCGCGCCTTATTGTACGTCATAGGAGTTATTATGACAATGGAGCCGGGACGCGCTTCTTGATAATCGCTCACTCCATTGCCAGTGCGAATAATCCTTGGATCTTTCTCTATGGTACAAACAGCAAGCCCTTGTTTACCAATACTCTCGTTGACAGACGAGTCCTCATACTCTTTTAGCCTGACGTCGCAGCGTCGCACGGGATGTGTACTTACCATATTCAAGAGGGTGTTGGTGTGATCTCTGATCTGTGGTGTCTTGATGTAAATCCATTTCTGTCGACCCCGCTCATCAACATTTTTGGTAGCGTGGAGAGTGGCTAGGCTCTGAATAATGCTGTCAACTCCATTTGGTGTCTCAAGCTTGAGAATTTGGTAGTGATTATTTCCAGCCATTGTATTGAATCGTTGTTGCGGATTCTACAAGAGGTTGTCGAGCATCTGGCTTTTATATGTACGAAGGATGGACCCAACGCGGGCCAAGTGAGAACAACGTTGACACCATAACCAGGCCTCGCGTGACTTCAAAACTGGGCCCATGGCCCAATCACTCGTTAAAGTCTGACAAGGTATACCACAATACACAGTGACAACGCATGTATGATAGGAAATCTCAGCAGCTGTTATTTCTCATGGAGCTTTTTGGCCGTGTAATAGAAACGAGTGACGTAGTACCTAATCCCGCCTAGCTAACATTACCAAATTGTGTATGTCACTATGCAGAGCCTCACCAGCACCGCATTCACTCTCCCCCACGCCAATCTGGCAGACCGTCAGCCGCATCCATACCTTCCTCTAATTCACCATAGTCCGTCGCATCTGTTCCGCTCCCATCGTCGGTGGGGGAGAGAGGGCTGCTAGGGCTTCTCGATCTTGTGGATTTGCGTTCGTGAGGTGCACCATCGTGACTCTCTTCTTGATGTGCCCGTTCATATTGCGAGCCTTTGGGGGTAATTGAATCTACGATTACTTGTCATCAGTTAGTTTTGGTGTAAAGAGATTGGGTCATTACCTGGAATATCGGTACTGCTATGATTTACTGCCGAACAATGTCAGTGTCAGCTTGGACAGGAGGATTGGACACATAATCACCGTTCTCAATGTAATCTGATATAACACTTTGATCTACCTTTGAACAGGGCTTCGAGGTATCCACAGGCCTAGCTGTATTCCCGAGCTCTGTGCTCCCGGATCTTGAACCTGGGGTTTCGCTTTGCCTGTCAGTCACGCATAAGACAACAGATACAATAAATCCTTACCCAAGAGGTAGTGCCAGCCTTCCATCCACATTTTTATCATGTGTATGTGCTGAGTGCACTGAAATCGACTCTGTCTGTCCTGCAGGAGGCACATACAGCGTGCTTGAAGCTGGGCGAGGTGTTGGGGAAATGCGTCGCCTTTCCTTGTCAGCAACTTGTTCTTTCTATAATGAATTGATACTACCGTACACTTCTTCACCGTTCTGCGATTTGGGGGTACCACGGCTAGGCATTATTGGAGTAGTTGTAAAGAATAACCACGAGTGAGTTTGGACTGGTAAGAAGTTCTGTCTCTATAAAACTTGTAGCTCTAATGGAGATGGTAGGACGTTATATATCAAATACCTCTTGTCCCTTCCCTCAAATATTCCAGTTTTGGGATAAAGGTTTGCTTCTCTAGGCTAGTTCCAAATCACGGTTGATTATCTCACCCCCTTTCCAGCTTTCTGCAAGCCACGAATGCATACAGTATAAGGCGAGCATTTGTTCTGAGGGTAAGAACATCGATTGCTAACTACAACATGAGGAGGTATATCTCGGCTGCTGCACCCGGCGAGAGACAACGCCTATTGGTAATTGCTTGACGATGTGCTGGTAGTGTGAAGACTCAGATCGTTGAATAGTGTTCAGCACGTTGCATTAACATGCCTGCAAACCCCCCTGTCTGGTGATCATCAGTGCAAGATTGTGCAGATGTGCCACGAAGCTCTCTCAGCTGGTATGCAAATTTGCATTTGTTGCGGGACGCAATTTTGCATTGTGAAGCCAACCACACCCCCTCAACAGCAGACAGCCACCTCCTTGCCCTTGTCACATCTCGTATATTGCTGTCTCTAATCTCCAATGCATCTAGCCTGAAAGAGATCCTTTTTCGAGACCAGGAACTTTCGGACGTGGCTTCTGCTCCCAAATCCAGCGCCTCCTACTGTGACGCTCCTTGTTTGCGGGGGTATCCAGCTTTGCTCAGGGTAACAAGCCAGATCACTAACCCTGTCACGCACCGTCACTCCATACCTTGCATCAACCAGCTTTCAAAGTGTCTCAGTCGCCGAGACTGTATTTTAGTCCCTATCAATTGCCTTATTTTAATTGGTGCAATGTTCCTGTTCTGAATGCCTATGATTCCTTCCAAAAGTTCTTTCCCACTATCATTCCACTGAGCCACAACCTAGAACATGGCTAGACTGTTGAAGCACACACTGGAGAAGCAGATATAGCGATGCGCAGGAGAACCCCGACTAATGAGAAAGCGCTATCATCGTCCTTTACCAAGGTTTCTTGGATGCGCCGTGCTCCTACACGAGGCTAAACGGCCAAATGCTAAACACTCAAACATAAAAATACAGCTCGGGTATACCATCCATGCCCAGACCATTTATGCGCCATCCCGTTGGATTGATAAGTGGTCATATTGCTGACCAGCGGGATGGGCGACTTCAGAAACGCTAGATTCCTCGAAGTCATTCATCGGGTATCTCTCCTTCACCGTGGCAGACGCCGCATTTGTATATCCCGATCATTCCCGTGCCGTCGCAGCGAATACACTTCGTCATTTTGCAGCTCGACATGGGCAATGACTGGCTCTTCTACTCATACGTGTTAGCACCAGGGACATTCAGGAATATGGGGTTACAAATGGTATACTCAAATTGCAGAAGATATAAACTCTCGAGGCGGGTCATAGAGATGGTGAAGAGGTCAAGCTCTTTTTGGCGCAAATCTCGTAGGCGGCCTTTGACATGAGGATCACCGCAATGGGATATTGTGTGTCACTGGTGGATGAAGCGTGACCAGACTGCATCGTCACGTGTTTGTCAGGTACCCCTCCCACGGCTAGCTCTTACTAGTTTCGTATCTATTTCACTGCCTTCCAGCATTGTGTGATTATCTCGACATCTCCTGAGGCACTATTGCGGCAATGGATTGCTCAATCTGCTCTGGCAGCTTTGATTCAACACGCGAGCTGTCTTTGCACACCGAATATTGGCAGGTATGCAATCGTCGTTTGTGGAAATCCTATCAGCTGATGGCCCATAGCAACAAATCCAGTATCACCTCCGCGCGCTGGCACAATGCTTTCGCCATCAGGCAATTCCTTCCAAGCCGAAGACGGTGACAACGACAGTCGATCAACCTCTTAAAACCAGCCTCGGAATCACTGTCTCCAAGTCAGTTGAGGATTCACTTCCTACTGAGGCCACTAATTCCGATTCTTCCTCAATCACAACCTCCAATACGATCAGACGGCCCGGTGTTGCTTACAAACGCCGTCGCAGACGAAGCGCACTTTCCAATAAATGTTCGCCGAACTTGTCAGTCGAGTCCACTGGGAATTATCCCACCAGGAATGATCCTTCCAGACTTATAGAAACCTTCGGTGTACCAAGTCAAGCAGACGTATTACCTGCATCGGACAATCTCCCCTTTCCATGCACATACATCGGATGCGAGAAACAACTCAGGACAATTTGGGAGTGGCGACGGCATTACGGCACACGTGCGTGCATTGTCTCCCCATCCCTAGCGCTTTGCTAATCTTGTTGAAAATAGATGTAAAGATCAACGAGTCGTGCCCAGCGTGTAACAAATTGTTTACTCGTGCGAGTCACATCCTCAATCATCGGTGTTTTACAAGCACTGAAGACCCATTGTGCTCGCAAAGACAAAACATTTCGAAGTGGCTCGACATTTTGAGACATAGAGGGGGAGATGCGACTGAAGCGAGAAAGAGACTCACCAGCCCGCCTCAAGTTGACCAATCTCGACTTTTACCTAGAAACACAAATGGCTACAACGTTGGTAAGTGTCATGGCTGTACGCATTGGTATACACTGTCATCTAACTCAACAAATCCAGTTGCAATAGAACCGCAAAGTCCGTTCTCCATGCAATCCGTCCCTGTCACATCTGTCGGCCCATGGGATTGCCAGGAAAGCTTGACAGACACATCAACACAACATGCTCTCGACCAATTACATGAGTTGGCCATGCCATGCCCTGAACTGGTCCAAAGTCAGGTAAGCACGAGCGAACTGAGCCCCTCCACCATTTTGAAGGACGGGTCTGTGGCACCGGGAATCTGGGATTACCGGACTCCATTGTTCATGGCCCCTTGTATTCGGGACGGCTGGGTAGGGGCAACAGTCCCTATGATGGACCAAATGACCGCTGCATCCGACGTTGGTCACCTTTGAATAGTGCTGGTGAGATCATTCTGGCGATTCTTAAATGATGAATAATGCGACTTGGGTGCGATAATGGCCAGCCTTAATCGCATTCAGTGGATGCATTAATTTTCAAATGTAAAATGTGTGCCCATTCCCGCGGTCTTCATTTCAAGGACTTTCGTTTCGGCCTTCTTGTTAGGTAAGAGGCGCCTTGGCCAAGTTTTAGCTTGCTCCTCGGATATGAAAAGGTGCTGCATGACAAAACCTTTGACCAGGGTAAATACGGATCGCGCGTCGAATATTATGCTGCCAAAACGTAAGTATATATTCAAGAAATAGGTACTGTGACATACAGGCCGCCATGTTGGAGAATTATCTCAGCCGGCTCACAGCCAGCTTTCCTGACTTGCGCCCCAGCTATTTCCAACAGGCCCGCAGAACCAGGCGCGCCATGGAATGGTTGTAGGTGCGAGTCCTTGTATATAATAACTTTGGACTGCGGGCCACATAGTTGAACCACAACGGCGTTCATGTGTCGTATTTGGCCAGTCAGGATAGCGTTAATTTCAGTGTTGGTCGGTCCACGGAGATAAATCTCGTACCAAATCAGCGCTGCCCAGGGGAACAGAGCACCTAACACTCCTTGTACTCGCTGTAAACAGTCAGCATTGCAAGATGTAACTATTAACACGGGATCTCGATTCTTACGTCGTCTTGGAACACGTTCTGCTTGCAGAATTCGAGACAGTCGACGTCTTCTGGTCGAAATCTAACCTTGGATCGAGACTTTACGCGGTCTCCTAGGACTGCATCTTCGAAGGCAAGAAAGCCGTCTTCGGAGAACCTCTTTTCCACATTTTCAGGCGACAGATTCTCCATGGGGATCATGACAAGTAAAGGCAAATGGAGATTGATGGGTTGTCAGGTCTTTCGTGAAGGGTGTCGTGCCCATGATGCCCCTCCATGACCCCATTCATCCGGCATCACGTGGTTTGGCTCACCTGGTTGTGATGTAAGAGGGGTATTGGGCCACAAATCGCCCGGAACCCCTAGGCTTCACGTGTTTAGTGGCCTTTCCAGCAGCTGTCTGCCTGCCCTCTTCGGATGGAAGCAGCAATGTGACACAAACCCCTTCTCTATACATGTGCGAGGTGGACTGAAGTTCGAGCAATTTCGACCCCTCGTTTGTTCCGTCGTCAACAATGCAACTGATACCGATACCTGGGAGACGGTCTTCGACCTCACCGAAACCTTCGCCTGGCGCTTTCCAGACGCCTGGAGAGCAACATTTGTCACGACACGATGCAAGCTACCGGGCCTAAAGCGCTGAAAATTCTGTCGATACGAACTAACTGAAGGGGAAACACAAGAAGCCTGTGGGTTCGCTTTAGCAGATGTTGCAAACCTGGGCCTGAATCACGAGGCAGACCAGGCACCATTAGCTGCTGTAAGTCCTAACTGTGAATCGGACTGTCCCAATGCATTAATGGCAATCGAAATACCGTCAAGCAATCAATAGTCGACTCTTCCTATCATTCTCGTCGGCATGGATTCAGAATGTCTTGACCAGAGTCGCCGCTTCAGCTGCTGAGAAAATTTGCCCTGTTCAAATAGCCTTGAAATTGTTGAATTCTGTCGTTCTATGGAGATGCGGAGAATTTGTGACGGAGTCGTGAGTAACGTGTTGTGTCTCCATTTTTAGTTGACGAATGTATGGCACTGCCCCCAAGCCCCTCTAACTACGGCATGGACGCTCGGACAAAGGTGGGGCCACATCCGAGTAAATAAACAAAGGTAATTCCACGAAACCAAAGCAGCCTTTTTTTGTCATGTAGCCAAACTGAGCTCATTCGTTGTCAGTAAGTCAGTAATTGGATAGTCGGTATATGCGACGAATATGATGGACGACATTGAAGCCTTACGGCGAAAGCTCCGAGAGGCTGAGAACCGCGCCCTAGAGGAGCAACATCGACGCGAAGAGGCTGAGGATCGCGCATTGAAGGAGCAACATCGACGCCAAGTAGCCGAAGCACTCACCACAGCTTCCCGGCCACAGAACCTTCAGCAATATCTTGAGATGTGTCATTCGCTTCATCTTGCTATTGAGGTGGTAACAGATCAATCTTTGACTACGCAAGGAGAAACGACCAACCCCACTGGCCGAATTTTCCCTCGACGAATATCCCCTGGGACGACTTCGCAATGAGACAAGAGGAGATCTGGAACGGCCTGTCGATTAGCGAGCTGTTCGGTAAACCAGCATATCCGTCTAGTCATCAGATGGAATACGTCAAGTCATTGCTCAAGCCTATCAGCAGTGAAGTTGGGCTCCGGGACTTCGAGCGCGATGTGGTAGAAAACGCGGTTCAGAAGTTGGTCGATCGAGCGAACACAGATCCATTGCTGCGAAGTTCTCTCGGTATCCAGGGAACAGTGACGTATGAAAGCCACACAAATCTCGGCACGACTGACGATCTTATATCTGAGCCCATGGAACACATGTCACTGGACCGAGATGACACAGGTGCTACAGCGCAAGGATCTGCCCCGAAGCAGGCGCCAGCTCCCAAGTCCCGTCGCAAAGCGAGGGGAAAGGGCAATCGGGCGGATCAATTTTGTATATACAGGACTTCAGAAGGCCGAAATGTCCCAGCCCTTGCTATCGAGTACAAGGCACCACACAAATTAAGTCTCGACGAAATCATCACTGGTCTTGAGGCGGAAATTCAGCCGGAACGTGATGTGATTAACAAGGACAGTCAGGGCTTTGTCTTGACTGCCCGACGCCTTGCCGCCGCTGTGGTCACTCAGCTCTTCTCGTACATGATCGGCAAGGGCATTCAGTTTGGTTATATATGCACGGGTCAGGCATTAGTCTTCCTTCATATCCCGAACGATCCTTCCACCGTCTACTTCTCGGTATGCGTGCCAAATCAAGACGTAATGGACGACGACGAGACGAGGCTCCATCGTACAGCCGTTGCACAGGTTTTCGCTTTCATTCTCCAGGCTCTCCGCGCCAGGCCACCACCTCAGATGTGGCATGACGCGGCCGAGACACTCGGTATCTGGACTGTCGAGTACGATGATATTCTGAGGGATATCCCACCATCGGAGCGCAAACGCAAAGAGCCACGTGCCTCTCCTTATAGACCACAACGTTGGAAGGGCTTTAAGAGATCCCCAATTCGGACTCGCTCCCGCTGCCAGCAACGAGGCACCAATGTTGAACAGCCGAAGGAGGAAGACGAAGATCCCCCTTCCCCTACTCCAAATCCATCTCGCACAAGTGGGAAATTGTTACCCTCGATGAGCAAAAGCTCAAGCTCGAAGAGTGGGAGTCAAGGACGGCGCAGTGGCCGGCAGCAAGAGCGGGGCGTAGTAAAGAAGTCGGATATTCAAGACCGGCCATTCTGTACTCAGCGTTGTCTCCTAGGATTAGCACATGGCAGACCCTTAGACAAGAGCTGTCCCAGCGCAAGTTATCATGGGCAAAGGCACATTAGTCGACTTCAGTTCCTGCGGCTCGTCCGACACCAACTTGCTGTAGACCGTGGATATGATGCAGATTGCGCGCCGCTCCATAGATCTGGCTCGCGTGGGTCACTCTTCAAGGTGCGGCTGACATCTCACGGCTACACACTAGTTGCCAAAGGCGTTGAGGGCGTAGATCTTGTCTGCCTGCAGCACGAAAAGGATATGTATGACCAACTCCAACCCCTCCAGGGAGAGTACGTCCCTATATGCTTGGGCATTATTGATCTGGCCCTACCATATTATTATGACAGCGGCATTTGGGTGCATTTCATGTTCCTTAGTTGGGCTGGACAACCAATTCTTGACTGTGTTGACCCGGCGATGAAAGCAGGTATTGCCACCGCTGTTTCCATGGCCTACAGAGCAGTGCACAAGTTGCGCGTTCTTCACCATGACGCACAGCCCCGTAATATCCTATACAATACGACTAGTCGTGGGTTTATGGTTGTGGATTTTGAACGCGCAGAGTTCCGCTGTCGCCGGCCGTTGGCCTCAATTGAGCCGAACCTGAATCGGAAGAGAAAGCGTAGGGCAGTACAGAAACAAAAGAAGGACGACTTTGCGAGAGAGCTGGAGTCTGCCGTGGCAAATGCATTAAGTTGTGTCGCGAACTTACCCTTTTGAGAACCGGATCTACGTGGACGACGTTCTAGCTGTGATAACTGACGGTGCTGACTAGATAGATTCGTGGCTTCGATTTGGATGGTCGATCTTTCGTCATGTTCATCTCTGGGGTTGTCTGTATGTACAGATGGAAAAGGGAGCTATTATGGAGATCAGTCTTCTTGCGGAGCCCCGTCTCCGTACGCACGCTCTCATCATAGCATTAGAACATAATGTTGGACGAACAGCACCATAGCAACTATGGGAGAGAAGAGGAAGCTGCAACAACCAGCAGCCATGGCCACTGCTTCCCGCAAAGTCTGACCACTGGCAATCGGAATACTCTCACTCTGTCATGTGCGTTGTGGACATGGGCAAGTCGCTCCTAGTTTGCGGGTATAATCTTCACAACGATTGCGTATTATTTTCAGTCTCTACGTCCATCGCTTTGGGGCTCACTGTCTTCGCTAGACGTTTCCACAGTCTCCTGGCAAGTACGTGCATTGTGGCCGACCTCGCCACATGTGCCACAGTGCCGTCCTCTCCTGTCATTGCGTTTCCTCCGACTGCTTTGCCGTACATGTCGCTTAACCTGCCCGCTTCCCGTTTTTGAATTATTAAGCTTGGAAGCAATCCAAGTCTCTGACTTATTTTCCCTCCTCCATGCTTGTAGACGGTGTTCTTCCAGCTGGGATAATAGACGGTGTTGACCAGATAGATTCGAGACTTTAACCTGGATAGTCGACCTTTCGCCATCTTCGCCGCTAGGGGTATTTATATTTAACGCATCCCCGCAACTGATGGTACTAGCACTAGATCGGGTTTCAAGACCGTAACCTGAGTTGCCAGCAGTTCCTATATGGCCCGAGACACTCGGTATCTGGACTGTCGAGTACGATGATATTCTGAGGGATATCCCACCATCGGAGCGCAAACGCAAAGAGCCACGTGCCTCTCCTTATAGACCACAACGTTGGAAGGGCTTTAAGAGATCCCCAATTCGGACTCGCTCCCGCTGCCAGCAACGAGGCACCAATGTTGAACAGCCGAAGGAGGAAGACGAAGATCCCCCTTCCCCTACTCCAAATCCATCTCGCACAAGTGGGAAATTGTTACCCTCGATGAGCAAAAGCTCAAGCTCGAAGAGTGGGAGTCAAGGACGGCGCAGTGGCCGGCAGCAAGAGCGGGGCGTAGTAAAGAAGTCGGATATTCAAGACCGGCCATTCTGTACTCAGCGTTGTCTCCTAGGATTAGCACATGGCAGACCCTTAGACAAGAGCTGTCCCAGCGCAAGTTATCATGGGCAAAGGCACATTAGTCGACTTCAGTTCCTGCGGCTCGTCCGACACCAACTTGCTGTAGACCGTGGATATGATGCAGATTGCGCGCCGCTCCATAGATCTGGCTCGCGTGGGTCACTCTTCAAGGTGCGGCTGACATCTCACGGCTACACACTAGTTGCCAAAGGCGTTGAGGGCGTAGATCTTGTCTGCCTGCAGCACGAAAAGGATATGTATGACCAACTCCAACCCCTCCAGGGAGAGTACGTCCCTATATGCTTGGGCATTATTGATCTGGCCCTACCATATTATTATGACAGCGGCATTTGGGTGCATTTCATGTTCCTTAGTTGGGCTGGACAACCAATTCTTGACTGTGTTGACCCGGCGATGAAAGCAGGTATTGCCACCGCTGTTTCCATGGCCTACAGAGCAGTGCACAAGTTGCGCGTTCTTCACCATGACGCACAGCCCCGTAATATCCTATACAATACGACTAGTCGTGGGTTTATGGTTGTGGATTTTGAACGCGCAGAGTTCCGCTGTCGCCGGCCGTTGGCCTCAATTGAGCCGAACCTGAATCGGAAGAGAAAGCGTAGGGCAGTACAGAAACAAAAGAAGGACGACTTTGCGAGAGAGCTGGAGTCTGCCGTGGCAAATGCATTAAGTTGTGTCGCGAACTTACCCTTTTGAGAACCGGATCTACGTGGACGACGTTCTAGCTGTGATAACTGACGGTGCTGACTAGATAGATTCGTGGCTTCGATTTGGATGGTCGATCTTTCGTCATGTTCATCTCTGGGGTTGTCTGTATGTACAGATGGAAAAGGGAGTTATTATGGAGATCAGTCTTCTTGCGGAGCCCCGTCTCCGTACGCACGCTCTCATCATAGCATTAGAACATAATGTTGGACGAACAGCACCATAGCAACTATGGGAGAGAAGAGGAAGCTGCAACAACCAGCAGCCATGGCCACTGCTTCCCGCAAAGTCTGACCACTGGCAATCGGAATACTCTCACTCTGTCATGTGCGTTGTGGACATGGGCAAGTCGCTCCTAGTTTGCGGGTATAATCTTCACAACGATTGCGTATTATTTTCAGTCTCTACGTCCATCGCTTTGGGGCTCACTGTCTTCGCTAGACGTTTCCACAGTCTCCTGGCAAGTACGTGCATTGTGGCCGACCTCGCCACATGTGCCACAGTGCCGTCCTCTCCTGTCATTGCGTTTCCTCCGACTGCTTTGCCGTACATGTCGCTTAACCTGCCCGCTTCCCGTTTTTGAATTATTAAGCTTGGAAGCAATCCAAGTCTCTGACTTATTTTCCCTCCTCCATGCTTGTAGACGGTGTTCTTCCAGCTGGGATAATAGACGGTGTTGACCAGATAGATTCGAGACTTTAACCTGGATAGTCGACCTTTCGCCATCTTCGCCGCTAGGGGTATTTATATTTAACGCATCCCCGCAACTGATGGTACTAGCACTAGATCGGGTTTCAAGACCGTAACCTGAGTTGGAAACGTCATACTCGGGCTCACATCCCGTACTCGGCACATCCTTGCTCACAAAGTGCTGTAACAACGATAGTGCTTCTAAGAGGGCTGCGCGTAAAGTCGAGCATGATGTGCATTGGCTAGCGTGCTTCATATACTGCATTCCGGGTAAATCTTTCGTCTGCTGTGGTGGTAATGGCGAACAACTTGCCTCTGCTTTACGAGGTTGACGCGCTGTGGCTTCTTCGCGGCGACGAGAGCTGTGCTGTCCCGAGGGGCACGTTGGCACAAAAGCACAAGCGTTCGAGTGAATGTTTGCAGGAGCGCTGAGCAAAGTCACATTCTGAGCTGTGGCAGCATCTAAGCCTCTCTTTGAATAGCACATAATGGCACGTTCTCCAGAGCCATTGTCGTTCCAATTGGTGTTATCTTCATGGGAAGAATCACTGCCTTCATCAGCGGAAGCCAACTTTGGCCGCTTCGTCTGCCGTTCATCAGTTGTTTCAACACCGTCATGGTCATAGGCTAGCTGTTGTTTAACATTCGTGTTATTGGGCGCTACCAGCAGTTCCTATATGGCCGTTGATGGTAGCCATTTGTGCTGGTAGCTGGCCTGATGACGTGACTGGTAACACACCAACACGCAACCCAAAGATGCTGGTAACCGCTGTGGCGCACCTTGGAGTGACTGGTAGCCAAACCAGTCAGTTCCCGCTGAGGCCAGGCACCCTCCCCGCCAAGTTGCTGGTAACCCTGAGAACGCTTGTTGCTCCTCCGGAGCTTCTAATTTTCAGTCCCAAAATTTCAACTCTACGTAGTTTGTTACAGTTCAATGAATGGGTCCTGAGCTAGACGCAAAAAACTAGGTGTACAGCGCATAAGCTGAATCCACAGCACCACCTTTCACAGCGAATACAATGCTGCACAGGCTCTTGGCTTAGATCTGCCTTTTTGCATTCTCCTGGCTGAAAAATTCTTTATTGTCTTGATGATTTATATGTCGCAGTTACTGTTTTAATTTTGAAAAAAAAAAAAAAAAAAAAGAAACGGAAAACAGAGAAGAGGAGGCGGTCTCTGTTGCTTTTGAGAGTTAGCTTGAGCACAGCATGAAATCTCGTTACAACAAAGTTAGTAGATGTTTGTATGGTACTGTCCAAGTCCATACTAGCAGCTGGAACGCCGATCGACCATAGGATTGCCAATCGCATGGCGGTGGAAATAAAAAGACATGTTTGTGGCTAATTAGGTAAGAAAACATTCATTGATTTACACATACCCACGTAACTCCGAGCCCGCTCCATACAGACAAACATAGAGCAATCAGTTCAGTGATCACACGGACAGGCAAAATCGACCTGCTGGCCTACCTCCATGGAATCAACAGGCTGGACTGCAAGACATAGTGAAGCTTGTATTGTGGCCGAGTTAACGGACCATCTGTTCATACGATCACAATGGATGATATAGACAGACCTTCACCGACTTCTCCGGCGATACGTATTTGGGACCATTGCATTGATGACTCGCCACCGAGAACAGCCAGCGGACCTGAGCGACCAAGGTCGCTGAACGAAATACACACACAGACGGCCAGCTATCTCCTTGAACACCAAATTATTACCGTTTTTCTACAAGCCACCGCCAACAGCGAAGTCAGTCCTCCTTCAAAAAGCCAATGATCCAACAGTTCCTTTTCGCATTACTACACAACGCAACGCCGCATTGCCTGCACCAGGCTGCTAGCTTTCGCTGGCCAGGGAGGCCTTTTCCCCCTTTCCGCCTGCCATACTGACCTTTTTTTTTTTTTTTGGGATGGGATGAAAGCGCGCGTTTTTAGTCTGATAGGCTTTTGCAGTACATGCGCGAATCCCGGTACCCGAGGGTCGATGTACAAAGTCAAAAATTGGGGGCCAAAAAAGGTAATAATCTGGTGCTCAAGGAGATAAGTAGCGTGGTGGCACTGCCTTGTTACGGCTCCAGGGGAAACTACCAGCACATGTCAGTCAGTGATCGAGAGACAGATCGACGGACAAATTTGCAGAAAACTCCATTTTCCGATTCATACCATGGATAACATGCGAAACCAAAGAACTCTCATCCACTGCATTTTTTTTAGCGATCCATGCCTGTTGCCTGCATTGTGCCGCGACATATCTGGTGTGCCACAGGGTAAGCGACGAGCAAGCACTCAACATCGGGAAAAGGTTGAAGATAATTCCCCGCCACTCTACTCCGTTCCTCAAGGCATTGGCGATTTCTGAAGGGGTCCGGTTTCCTGCGACTCGTAACTGGAAATTACCAGCTCCGGAGAAGCCAGCGTTCGCCGGGTTACCAGTACTTTGGCGGCGTAGGTACCTGGCCCCACGGGAATTGATTGGTGTGGTTACCAGTCACTCCAACGCCACGGCGGTTACTGGCATCCTTAGGTCTCGTCTTGGTGGGTTACCAGTCACAACGTTAGGGTACCTCCAACGTACGCCACAGCGGTTACCAGCATCCTTTGGGTCACGTACACTAGTAGTGGCCCCACCACAAGCAATGACCACCACAGGACAGCAGGCGCTTCCAGTTTGAGAATCAAGATCTCAAATACAGAGAGCACTCCAACCTGCTTGAGTCTATGCAAGGGAGAACTGGATGTATCAGCCCGGGATAGGCACGACGATACGACCCCCAAAACTTTTTATTCAGGCGGTTCTGATGAAATCCAATGAATGGCCAGAACGTGCTCAGATGACACCTCTAAGCGCCGAGCTAACTCAGCTTCCGATATGACAGAGGCGAGGCGACAAGGACCCTTCATACATTTCTTTTCCTCTTGTCCTTACCTTTGCCTCTCCAGCTGATGCCTAATTGACATCAAGCTGCGCCCCACAGCCAGCCGCAAACCAATCATATGACAGGAGATCCATTTGGCTCTGCACCGACTTCCTGTGACGCGCTCTCGGTATTTTGGTTGTTCCGTGTTGCAACTAGCTGACTCGACCCCAATATTAGGTAGCCGTGACAACACGCTTTGCACCCCGATCACGTATACCGTGGCACTACGCGGCGTGCGACCTCATCATGTCAGATCAGTCGAGATTGGGGCTCATCAATGAAAATCCAATACAAAATGGACTCGATGCCTTTCGCGCCCTGTTTACCTCGATTTGCACGAGCAGAAACCTTCCGTCTACAATAGACACGCTTCGTCAGCTTGGTGTTGAAGGTAATTTGGTAACTCACCAATGTCCATGTGATTCTGACAATACAGACAGATCTCCGCAACCTTGCACTCACCCTTTTTACATCTTTGCGAAACCTCCCAGTCTCAGGTTCGCTTCACTCGACGTCTGGGAGTGCCACCCTCCGCTCAGTCCTTCTCAGACTTATTACCGCTGTCGCTTCGGATAGCTTCGACTTCGATCGTATCAAGCCACTTCTCGAGATAGCAATCTCTGAAAATACTCAAGATGCACAAATCTGGGACTTTGTATCTACCGCAGCCGCCGAATCCACCCCTCCTCCCCGATCGATAGCATCTTCCCTCCAACAAACCCCATGCAGCCAAAACACGAGCAGTTTCGTGAACTCGTCAGAATACCGCCAGAATGTGGATCCTGTCCTTAAACTGGAACTCGAACATCTATACGTGGGACTTCCGAATTTCCATAAGTCTTTCTTTGGGGATATCCCAGAACTTGACATGGTTTCTGAGGCGGTCTTCCGCAAGTGTACCGAAGGTGACAGTCCACTTTTCAAGGAGGGTTGGAGTGGATGGCCAGCGGGCGCTAAAGAGAGCGACGTGCTGACTTGGATTGGCGGCTTGATCTCGCAGCTGGAAGCATTTGCAGACAACCGCATTCCGACTTCGGCGGCGAGACGAAAGCTGTTGGCCCAGCCGAAGACACCGTTGGAAGGCTCCACAGGCAAGCGCAGCATGGATATCGGCTTTGTGGACAGCGACATTATATATAAACCTGACACTACGGATTCAAGATATCGCTGGGCACACATCCTCGTTGTCGGCGAACTAAAAAGCAACCCAAAGGCCGACATAGCATCGGCTGCATGGATTGATCTTGCAAGGTATGCAAGAGAGGTACTCGCTGCTCAAGATACACGTCGCTTCGTCTTAGGATTTACTCTATGTGGGTCTCTTATGAGGGTATGGGAGTTCGACAGGCTTGGGGGGATCGCGTCCGAACAATTCGACATCAACAAGGAGGAAGGTGGGCTACAGTTTGTGGCCACAATTCTGGGGTTTCTGCGAATGAACGAGGAGATGCTTGGGTTTGATCCTACCATAGTAACAACCAGCGGCCAGAAATATATCAAGATCGAACGAAACGGTCAGACAGAATGTCTTATCATCGACGAGGTCATAAAGCGCGCACCATGCATCGCAGGCCGAGCGACAACTTGTTGGAAAGCTCATCGCAACGATGATCCACATAATCCACTTGTCATTAAGGACTCGTGGCAGTACGTCGACCGGGACGAAGAAGGCGAATTGCTCCAGGAAGCAACTGAGAAAGGCGTGACTAACGTTGCCCGATATTACCACCATGAGACTGTTCGTATCCGTACAGATGATGATGTTCGGAACAATGTCCGAAAAGGGCTGGACGTCACCAAAGCTACGAATTTCCAACCAAAACGAACACTGCCGTCGAACGTGGGCGGAACTGTGTCCCGAATATCACGCCAAGGGCGTAGTAGTAGTTCCGGGGTGAAACGGCCATCAAGTGAAACGGATGCCGCTCTGCCTCCGAGCAAGCGATCCTATTCAGCGTCTCCAACAAAACCCAACCTGGACGTACTGTCAAATCGGATACATCGACGTGTGGTTCTTCGAGACTATGGGGAAGCGATATACAAGGCAAGTTCCCGCGCAGCCCTGCTTGATGCGCTCGAGGGCTGTATTTAAGGTCACGAATCCTTACGCAAGGCTGGCTTCCTCCACAGAGACATCTCCATCAACAATCTCAGGGTGAATGAGGATAAGGTAAACCCTTCCTGGCGAGCTTTCTTAATCGACCTTGACCTTGCTATTCGAGAACATCGAGACGAGGCATCGGGAGCAATGGGAAAGACTGGCACTAGGGCGTTCATGGCCATCGGTGCATTACTGGGGGAACAGCATTCTTTCATGCACGATCTTGAGTCTCTTCTGGACATGCATTCATCATGACGGGCCAGATCAAGGCAGAGTAATGCGGCAATTTGACATGTGGAACTATGCGGACATGGAAGAGTTGGCGAAGCTGAAATTGGGCACGGTTGCAAAGGAGACAATTTTCGTGAAGACGATGACCGATAGTTTCACGGCATATTTCAAACCCTTCATCCCATTGATGAAGAGCCTGCGGAAAATTATTTTCCCAGGGGACAAGCCGTGGGAACGAGAAGACGAAAAACTTTACGCTAGAATGAGTGCGATTCTTCGCGGAGCCTGCGAGGAGTTTAGGGCGGTGGGCTAGTGAGGGTCGAGATCAACGAGATTCTAACATCAACACAAAATGATCTCACTTTTACATACATGCTCACTAAAAACCCAATTGTATCATTAACTACATGCACCGTACATTTCCTAACCTTTTAGTTTTATTGTATATTAGCTTTTCCCTCTTGGAGAGAAATATGATAAGCTAGTAAATGTAATGCTGAATTGATCGGTTGTAATGCATAAGAGACAGGGTCTTGTGGCCGAGGTAGTGATGCCGAGTTAATGATCAATGCAAGCACGTGACTGGAAAACCAAGGCCTTGCGGTTAGCCGTTAGCCTTTCGGGCATCACTCACTGCCCCTCAACACTGCCCCGCTGCATTTTTCATTAGGCAACGTCATATTTTCAAGCAAATGTCAAGATGGCGCCGGAACCCTCAGAGGTGGCAGCAAGGGAACTTGAAATGGCAAATGAGAAGCTCCTTGAAGACGGCTTCTTTAGACTTGAGGATCCTTCTCTTGGAGAAAGTTTAACTGAAATCGAGCGGCTCCGCTTTCGTTTCCACTCCGAATACGGCCTAGAATTTGGCAGAAAACACGTCCTTGATGACCGGGTAAGTCATAAAACAGGCTGTTAATATCAACTGACCTATCTCAGATCATCTAATCTTCTTTAGCTTATTAGATCTGTCAACAAAACTATCCTAGGTAAATGCGTCTTAGTACACTGGCTAAGATATGAAGAATACCCTGGCCACATACTTCACTTTAGACAGGGTGGTCCAAAGGCTGGCCGGCGATGTCTTCTTGTACATTTGATAGGCAAGGGCTCGCAAATAAGATATCGCCGCCAATCACATCTGCATGATCTACCAGCCGTAGAGAATAAGAAGCGGTCTCTGCATGAAACTTCCTCGGCAGCCTATGATGAAGCGGGTTGTGAGGCAGAAATTATGACATTTCCTGATGGCGGCAAGTGCGTTTACCATTGACTATGACCATTGCGTGTTCTGACGGTTCTCAGGGTGATTCTTGATGCTAGAGTTGGATACGAAATCAGACAAGGCTACGCTATCGTGTTTGAGTTTGCCGAACATGGCATTGCCTATGGCTGGAAAAAGATGATGCTTCCGGGGACGAAGGAATTACGTGACAAAGTTCAACAGATGCAAAGTAAAGATATTCGCGTAAACTTTGCCTTTAAAGAAGTTGCGGCGCAACAGATTGATAGCTAGAATCCACGAGACTTGTTCCATACTCAGGATATCCAGTTCCCTGGTCGTCCATAGGTGGAAAGTTTAACCAACTATTGATAGAAGCATTATAACCAATATCCGTCAATACAGAGTCGCTGTTCGTGTCAACTAGGGCGATATCATGTTGCTGTATCAATGGTGCGGTCAGTTGTGCTGCGGTGGTGGAGGATACATCTGTTTCAATGTTAGATATGCCGCTGATTGCTAGGGAGCGTCCAATACCTTGCAATGGTGCGTCTAAGCCTGATAGATTCGAGCTATTACGACAAGTTTCTATAGTTCCTGGTTCAAAACCGGCGGCTTCGAGCGATCTCTTTTTGTTGTTGTGGAACAGTCTCTCTGCCCGAACTAGTTCACTCTCGGTGATGCGAAGCAGTTCATTGCGCGATTCCTCTACATATACCCTTTTCCGGTCGTTCGGTATTGGCTCATGCTTGTCGATATGCTGAATATATGCACTCACAGTCGTGAACCTTTTGCCACATAGTACGCAGATCTCATCACAACCAATATCTAGTTCTGTTAGCAAGTTATTGATTCGGAGGGAAGAGGCCTCCATACGGGTTTGATAATGTCGCCGAAGTCGCTGTCGCGTTGTGAATGATTGAGAATGTCTATCGCAACTTGTATCCGGACAATCACGCGGCTTCCGCCGGCCAGCTCTCTCTGCCTCTTCGCGCTCACCGCAGTTCTCCTCTAAATCATCATTTTCACATGATATGGCATGATTCTGACATCTGGCAAGTTCGTTTCGGAGGTGAGGTTCTCGAGACTATGACAGGTCAGATTAGAAAGTGAATGTTTACTGGGAGACATGCCCTGTACTCTTGGATATGAGCTTCTAGTGCATCGTTTGTAGGGAAGTTAGCAGAGCATGTGCACTGACGACAGCCGACGTCGTTCGACATCTTATCGAGGTCATGAAGTGGCGAGGCGTTGTTGGAGAGGAGCTGGTGGCTTAAAGTGGGGATATCAAAATTCCGGCGCTGGACTACATTAATCCGATATGGCCGCAACTTAACCAACCGTTTTCGAAGAAACAAAATACAAGAGGGATTTAATCCGCTACGCTTCTTTTCGCTTCAAAACTAATAATTTCCAATCAAACCACATTGAGACATCCGCATAGCGCCATTAGACCTTGATTGCGGTCTCATAGCAAAATTTGAAACATGCCGACTCGAGGCGAGTGCGAGACCTGCAAAGGTAGAGGCGAGATTGATGGAAAGCCATGCCCTACTTGCTCCCAGGATTGAGACCTTGTACTAGGTTCGTATTGCCTACACCCCGGCTCCCGTCAACGTCTTCAGCTGCTGACAAAATGAAGGTTGTGTTTGATGCTGGCGAGCGTGAAGGATCGGATGGAGGTTGTGTATGTTCTCAGTGTACAGTACATAAGTTAAGGAATACGTAAGTTAAGGAATCTAAATATCGTCCTTTGATAAGTTGCAGCGTTGTACACAATATCCTTCAGCTATGAGGTTCCTGGCCAAGCATCATTATCGGCGGTACCCTCCTTCAAGTCCGTGAGAACATTATGCCCCACTTTCTCGAACAGGTATCATTAACGACGGTACCCTCCCTCTCGATTCACAGGGATCATAATCGAAGATACCCTCCATTCCGGCAAATACGGACTAAAGTTTCTCCAACAATTCCATTAAGGCTGCAATTGTCAAGCAAAGATAGATGAATATCAACTCGTCTTGAACAGGAAATTCGTATCAATGGGCAGATTCCAGTACAGCAGGACAAAGTCCGAACGACCAAGGTCAAGGCATATTTCTTTCACCACAGCTGATGGCTCATTGCTGTGTACACTTGGAGCATGCCAGATGTTCCAAGGGCTGTCTCAGCCATGCATGCGACCACTTGATCTGTCAGTTGCACCGTAATGCTACGTGCAGGAACGGCGTTATGTCTGACGGATGCGTGTTGGTTATAACCTTGTTCCATGAATGTAATTCGTTGATCATGACCACGCAATATGACGGTGGAGAAGAACGGCAGGCGTTGCTTTGAGGAACGAGCTGTGCGAAATCTACATAAGGCCAACTTATTCCTCTCTATTCGAAGCTCACAAAACGAAAGCAACAGTTCCTTGACGACTTTTTGCCCTAACCTCGCTCTGCACTGAGGACCGCAAATTAACATAACAACCCTCATCCACGACTAAGCTCAGCCACCCCATATATCGTCATTTGGCAAGATGCCTTCTCGTGTACAAGATATTCGCTCGGATAAATCAATGACTATCATCCCCGCGGATGTATCCGAAACGATGACTCACAGACTTCTCTCTTTACAAGATTCGACAGAATCTTCAGCTGGTCTGCCTTCTGGGATCCAAAGTCTTGATCTTGACAATGAAAAACCTGATGGACACACCAGCAATGATCCAGGAGACCTGATTCCAATGCCATTTTGGGACATTAGCCAGGATGTGCCCGCAAGTTCTGTCCTTGAGAGCTGGACAGAAGAAGACCGGCTGAAGTTTGGAATTCACGAGGGCATGGACGTAAACCACGGCCTTCCGCCTTTCGACGAGAATGTTCGTGAATATCACACAGCAAAAACAGCATCTAGTAAGAGAAAGTCTGATGATGGTATCCATGACTCTACCGAGAGCTACGGCGGCATAAACGTTACATTTGGTCTTCCTCCATGGATTGAAACTAAGTTCAGCGAGACAGGAGAAACGTCGGAAAAGAACAGCAATCAGTACCATTTTGGCGCACCATTCATCCAAGTTTCTAGCCTTTCTCCAACTCCACCCCGCAAAGATACGGATTGCAAGGCTTTGCGGTCTGTCTCGTTGAGTGCTGTTGGTACCCCCACGGTGGCGGAATCCCGCACTCTGCCTCTTGCGGAGACCAAAGATACTGCAGCAACTGGGAACACTGACATCGAACCCCCCCTGCTCTCGCAAGATTCCTAGCGCCTCTGAACGGCTGGAGTCTTCATTTGCGCTGCGGGATGTATCGATAATTCCTTGGACTGACTGTTACCCCGACGATCCCGATAACGCTAGAGAACTTGCAACAAGTACCGGTTTTTTACACATGCTACTTCAGACAGGCAAGTTCTCGATGAAGTCGATGCTACTCAAGATAGTCACAACTTCAGGGTCGAAATGGAACCCCAACCCAATGATTCCGTAAGGGCATCGAGCGTGACTGACTCGGAGCGTGCTGATGAGTCTGGTTGGGTAAAAGTGGAAATAGAGACAGAGAATCCGGACCAAACGGAAAATGTATAAGGAGAGTTGTGGTGTCCGTCATCAGTATAAGGGCACTATCTATTGAATCGCGACATCTCATTTCGTATGACTTTGTTTTGTTAGAAATCTTCTAGCATCCACTCATTTAGTTGAATATATATACCAGTATTTCCTCTTGACAACATGGTCTGGGACACGAGATTCACGCTGTGTGGCTGATAAGCAAGGAACATAAGCGAGGATGATGTTGCCAATGAGGGGTACCATAAACTTATCTCACAGGCCGCATGGCCGCATGAGCGGAGATTTAGAGGCATGACGAGGCATTGGTAGCAGAGGTACGTAGTACGTGAGGTTAAGTTTGCCAGGAGGTAGGCTATGAGGTTCCTGGCCAAGCATCATTATCGGCGGTACCCTCCTTCAAGTCCGTGAGAACATTATGCCCCACTTTCTCGAACAGGTATCATTAACGACGGTACCCTCCCTCTCGATTCACAGGGATCATAATCGAAGATACCCTCCATTCCGGCAAATACGGACTAAAGTTTCTCCAACAATTCCATTAAGGCTGCAATTGTCAAGCAAAGATAGATGAATATCAACTCGTCTTGAACAGGAAATTCGTATCAATGGGCAGATTCCAGTACAGCAGGACAAAGTCCGAACGACCAAGGTCAAGGCATATTTCTTTCACCACAGCTGATGGCTCATTGCTGTGTACACTTGGAGCATGCCAGATGTTCCAAGGGCTGTCTCAGCCATGCATGCGACCACTTGATCTGTCAGTTGCACCGTAATGCTACGTGCAGGAACGGCGTTATGTCTGACGGATGCGTGTTGGTTATAACCTTGTTCCATGAATGTAATTCGTTGATCATGACCACGCAATATGACGGTGGAGAAGAACGGCAGGCGTTGCTTTGAGGAACGAGCTGTGCGAAATCTACATAAGGCCAACTTATTCCTCTCTATTCGAAGCTCACAAAACGAAAGCAACAGTTCCTTGACGACTTTTTGCCCTAACCTCGCTCTGCACTGAGGACCGCAAATTAACATAACAACCCTCATCCACGACTAAGCTCAGCCACCCCATATATCGTCATTTGGCAAGATGCCTTCTCGTGTACAAGATATTCGCTCGGATAAATCAATGACTATCATCCCCGCGGATGTATCCGAAACGATGACTCACAGACTTCTCTCTTTACAAGATTCGACAGAATCTTCAGCTGGTCTGCCTTCTGGGATCCAAAGTCTTGATCTTGACAATGAAAAACCTGATGGACACACCAGCAATGATCCAGGAGACCTGATTCCAATGCCATTTTGGGACATTAGCCAGGATGTGCCCGCAAGTTCTGTCCTTGAGAGCTGGACAGAAGAAGACCGGCTGAAGTTTGGAATTCACGAGGGCATGGACGTAAACCACGGCCTTCCGCCTTTCGACGAGAATGTTCGTGAATATCACACAGCAAAAACAGCATCTAGTAAGAGAAAGTCTGATGATGGTATCCATGACTCTACCGAGATCTACGGCGGCATAAACGTGACATTTGGTCTTCCTCCATGGATCGAAACTAAGTTCAGCGAGACAGGAGAAACGTCGGAAAAGAACAGCAATCAGTACCATTTTGGCGCACCATTCATCCAAGTTTCTAGCCTTTCTCCAACTCCACCCCGCAAAGATACGGATTGCAAGGCTTTGCGGTCTGTCTCGTTGAGTGCTGTTGGTACCCCCACGGTGGCGGAATCCCGCACTCTGCCTCTTGCGGAGACCAAAGATACTGCAGCAACTGGGAACACTGACATCGAACCCCCCCTGCTCTCGCAAGATTCCTAGCGCCTCTGAACGGCCGGAGTCTTCATTTGCGCTGCGGGATGTATCGGTGATTCCTTGGACTGACTGTTACCCCGACGATCCCGATAACGCTAGAGAACTTGCAACAAGTACCGGTTTTTTACACATGCTACTTCAGACAGGCAAGTTCTCGATGAAGTCGATGCTACTCAAGATAGTCACAACTTCAGGGTCGAAATGGAACCCCAACCCAATGATTCCGTAAGGGCATCGAGCGTGACTGACTCGGAGCGTGCTGATGAGTCTGGTTGGGTAAAAGTGGAAATAGAGACAGAGAATCCGGACCAAACGGAAAATGTATAAGGAGAGTTGTGGTGTCCGTCATCAGTATAAGGGCACTATCTATTGAATCGCGACATCTCATTTCCTATGACTTTGTTTTGTTAGAAATCTTCTAGCATCCACTCATTTAGTTGAATATATATACCAGTATTTCCTCTTGACAACATGGTCTGGGACACGAGATTCACGCTGTGTGGCTGATAAGCAAGGAACATAAGCGAGGATGATGTTGCCAATGAGGGGTACCATAAACTTATCTCACAGGCCGCATGGCCGCATGAGCGGAGATTTGGAGGCATGACGAGGCCTTGGTGGCAGAGCTACGAAGTACGTGATGTCGAGTACGAACGGGTATATAAAGGGTCCCCCCCCTACGATGCTGCATGAAATTTTTTGAACTTTTTTCATCGTCCCTCACAAATTCGCCGTCCTCGACTTGTAAGTGGCGCTGGCGGTCATACCTTGTATTCCTTAAGTTTGCCAGGAGGTAGGTCGGGCCCCCTTACCTCGATGTTAGTCACACGGACGGACTGACCGAGTTCGTGTGCTTTCACCTCCATAGCTTCAACCTCGCAGACTTTCTAGAAGCTCTCTTTTACACTATACCGGCATGATGGCACAAACTGCGGGAGTCTGTTCCTTTCTTGATCGTCCGTGGACTTTGGAGGATGTGATATCGATCCCGTCCGATTCCGACTCTGACACAGATAGTGATGTCGAGGTGGTGGAACAAGATGTCCCGCGCGTGCACTTGGTACACAATCAACACCCTGAAGACTCGCTTCCTTCTATCTCTGAGATTATGGCGTCACTGATTAACGTCAGACATGATCCAACAGAAGCAACGGGTAAGCAATTGCAAACCAAATTCCAATGTCCGGCAATGCCTAACACGATCCTAGGGAGCTCATCTGAGGATCTTTGCTTACCAGATGAGTGGGAAAGTCCCAATTCATTAACCTCAGACTCTTCGAGAAAGGTGATTTCCCCCTCAATGGCTCTCGAGAGTCCGGGGGTCACCGCCGACTCTAACATGTTGGTGTCTCCGCCAATACAACAACATGATGATGGAGCAAGCGTGGTGTGGCCCACTCCTATCCGAAGACCTTGTGTCGTCTCAGCGGCCTCCGAGTGTTGTTCAGTGCTGTCCACAACTGCGTTGCCTCCGAGGGATCAAGCACTGCACCATGAGAAACAAGATCCTCCCAGCCGATCGACGACCCACCTCGTCCAGCCTTCTCAATCGCAGAATTGCAGTGCCCTGTTTTCACACAAGTTCGTCCAAACTCATAGCATCAATATTGGCCATGGCCATATGGGAGAAGTAGTTCCGCAAAGCGACAACGAGCTGCCCAGTGTGGCTCGGCCCGCCTCAGTCAAAACACCTCCGTCGGCATGCAGCCACCCAGTCTCGCATCGAGAAGCTTTGACGGAGGCCATTCAGAAACACCAAGCCGCTGATGATATTTTGCCCCTGGATTCTTGCCCTAGCTCGTCGCCAACTCGTCAAGGACGGGACGACGAGCGCCAGACAAGCATCAATGCAGACGACACAGCGAGCCAGCTGGATGAACCCTGCGAAGAAACGGAAAAGCGGTCAACTAGTCATCGTGGTTCCGGAATAGCTTACAACCTTCGTCCTCTCCCGCCCAAAAGGCAACTCACCGCGGAACAAAAGGACGGCGGGATTGCGATGCAGACGGCACAGCGAGCCAGCTGGATGAACCCTGCGAAGAAACGGAAAAGCGGTCAACTAGTCATCGTGGTTCCGGAATAGCTTACAACCTTCGTCCTCTCCCGCCCAAAAGGCAACTCACCGCGGAACAAAAGGACGGCGGGATTGACGAAAAGCTTATGCCACAACGCAAGCGTCGCAAGCTTGTGTCCCGTCAGCCCAAGAAGCGTAATTCACAGCAACGTTCGGACCTACGTTCGGACCCTACGCGAAATCGAGAGGCACGCTTGCTGAGGAGTACGACAAAAAGCAACGACAACGAGTTTGTTGCAAACAAAAAACCGCCTGTTCGTTCCGGTGTTGTCAGCCACGAGGCATGGCCACTTGGCCAGCCGGTCCTAAGGTGCACCAGAGAGAATGGCACTGCGATGTTCCAGCTACAATTTACCAGTGACATTTTGTGGAATACGCTAGTTGCCCAGAACGATCCAGCCCCAAAAGGTCACCGGACACCGAACAAACTCCAGGATCGGAGACCTAAAACCGGAAAGGAGAAATCCAACCAATGTACGGCGAATACAGCGCAGGAGTCTATCCAGGCCGCCTATCCAAGTGTCTGCCCCGACCTTTTCCCGAATGGATTGCCTGCTTGCTCGGTGGAGGCGACACACTTTCCTGGTGAAATGGTCTGATGCCACCACGACGTGGGAGCCGAGAAAACACATCATGGACGAGGGAATGCTGAATCGATTTGAGGCAAGTTGGCGAGGCTTTGACGCAGGCGTGGATGTTTTGAAAGCCCGACAGAGAGCTGGAAGACGCCAACAGCTTTTACGTTGGCATGGTCGACCGTCTAAAGAGGATACGTGGGTATACGATGAGTTTCTGAGTCCGCAGTTGATGGAAAGGATTGAAGCAAACGAAAGAAATGGCCCTCAGTTTTGAAACTCTGGTTCGGGTTGGTTACGTATTTCTGCCACAAACCCTCTCACGACGATACTTACCTTGGTCTATCCAGCTAATCAGGTAATCGAGCAATCCCTGCCGCGTTAGGTAGTTTCGCTACTTTAGTGCATTGGTGCCAGTCGATAGTCTGAATGCGCATGCTTTAGTGTTTCTGAAGTGTCCTTTCATTTAATTGAACGATCTTTGATACGTTTTATGGCAGTGGCTGATATATTCCGAGGCGAATGAAAGAGCAAGTGATAATTATGAGCTCCGAGCTGCAGGGCAGTGCCGTGGTTTATCGCAGGCGTGCTTAAAATACTGGTAGCGACTACTTCATCGTTCCTAGTGCGTTCGACTCAATCATGTAGCTACTGCAGCTACCAACAACCGCTAATCGGGCATCTAGTGGGCGCAAGATTACCACTAACTTGCAGACTTGCGCTACTAGCACCTACAACTTTCCCCCAAATGGGTGCCAGTAACCTTCGTCGCTCAGGTACTGGTATGACGGCGCTACCAGCAGGCCAGCGGCACAGGTTGCTAGTATTCTCTGTTACATATTTGTGGTTTGAAGGACAATATGGACCCTCAAATAACCGTGATAGCTGTAATAACTGTAACGATCGTGAGTGTGTCGAATAACTAAAAAATATGCTATAGCTTTGTTCGAGAAAATCAGTGCACAGTACTACTTTGATAACAGACTGCCAGACAATATCCTCTAGTGGAAGGCGGTTGGCAGAAAAATTGGGCATGAGGAGGTCCCGGTTACCGTGGCAAATTACGTCGAATTCTATCCAAATCCGCGAGGACGGTTGGTGTCGGACCAATTGAGATGCCTTAGTATACGATGTGTTGACAGCTGTTGCTGCATACAAACATCAAGCATCTGGTGGAATGCACTTCTGCTCCTTGAAAACGGGCGTGTTCCAACCCAGAAACCTACCGCCAAGTGTCTGTTTACGTTTTACAAATCGAGATTCGTTTCTAAAGTGCGGGGCCTAAATTCCAAAGACACCTGTGCTGGCCCGTGGCAAGTGTACCATTAAGCTTCACAGTGATTATAGATCTTGGAAAATGAGGAACCCAGATGGGATTAAGCAGAAAGACTACCTTGACCTCACGAATAATTCAAAGTTACTAGCAGCCTTCCATGACCTCCTTCGAAACGACTATACACAAACAATGTGCGCTGCTGGAGAAGCTTTTGAAGACAGCCTTACTGGAGGGTCACTCGCTCGATCTAGATGGGAGGCGGAAAATGTAGATAAATGGTCCTTGCCGGAGGAAGAGTTACTACCCTACATGGCGCCTACGTGCCACAGTCATGTTCGCGGTGAGGCTTCACCGTGACTGCCAGCGTAAGCTATCTATTGCCTTGAAGGCGGTATCATAAGTTCCTTTTCTCTTCCTCATCAATTTAGTTGTTCGCAGTCCCAGCGCTTCCGACCTGCTACTTGTGTCGTGCGGCCATGTATGAGTGCGACCCATTAGTTGCCCACCCCCTGGCGATTAATAGGCGGACGGGGCCCCGTCCCTCTAAAACTGGACGGGATCCCGTCCAATTGCCAGTTTAGGTATCGCGCCTCCGCTTTCGGTGCCGCCCAACGCGTCGCGTTTGCAAATCAATTAAGTTTCGTTTACAACGCGTCCTGATTCATTGGCTTACGTCTATAAAAGACACAAACTCCTCTACTGAACATGGCCTCCAATTCCTACCTTTTTTTTATTACTCCGGAGACAAGACGTCATCTCAACTATTCCCGCGCGCATGTCTGCCTCAATTGACTAGTTCTTGCCCTAAGCGCCTTGCACATCTAGAACCTTGATGTCTTCAGCAGTAATATTATAACCAGTGTGGCTAACAGTCAAGCTCGAACTTGACATTTCTCAATCAAGTTCGACTTCTCGTCAAGTCAAGTTCTCAATTCAAGTTTGAAGTAGCCATCCAATCAATCTCATGGCTTTGAAATTTCTCTCCGCCGTCCGCAGACCGCTTAGCATATCGGAACTCTCATGGGCTGTGACTTTGGGCTTGGCTGGGGATGGTGTAACAAGGATCGAATCTCTAACCGACCTTGTAGATCATCACCGAGTCATGAGTCTGATCCAACCGTTCATTTCTCATATCGATTTTAGAGACTTGAAGAAGCGTCAGGTTCGGCTACTACACCTATCGGTAAAGGAGTTTATTACGAAGTCACTAGTTTCTCCTGGGACACCAAATAAACTATCATCCGAGTTCTGCACAGAGATAGTAGAGGCAGAGTTACTGAACACCTGTGTCAGATATCTTCTACTAGAGGAGATTGACCAGAGGCGCCTTTTCTCTGACGAGCAGCTCGCTATTGAAGCTCTACCGCAAGAAGTCGACCTATTTAATGACGATATCAAATCCAACAATTACACTACTAGCTGCACTTGGGATGAATGGGAGAAAACTATGATTCGCTACGACCCGACTGAGCGTGGCTTCGGGGAGTTCTTCGTCTACGCTTCATGCTACTGGGTTGAACACTTGAGCATGATCACTAGGCCGTCCCTGCTAGAGTTGGCGAGCATCGAAAAGCTATGCCAGCCCGGTTCTACTAGGATTCACAATTGGATTGAGCAGAATCGTCGGCCTGGCTGCGTCATTCTGCCAAGGTTCGAATTTGACCCTAGTTTGTATGACCCCCTTGGTATTACCGCGCTTTTTGGCTCACCGGAGATGTTTCGCCATGTGGTTGAGAGTTGGGACTTTAGTAATGAAAATTTCTTGCCTGAGTCAAATATGCGGGCTGCTGACCAACTCATTCGATGGGGTGATATATCTAGGCTGAGGATGCTTCCTCTCGATGAGAGAGCTAAGCATCAGGTTCTCATTCTCGATTTCTTCCAGCTAGCCATTAACCAGTGGTATAGGCGTAAGGCTGACTTACGATGTCAAAGTTGGGACGCAGTTTTTGACCTCGTTGATGACATCCTGGACGCAATAATACAGGAAAAGTGGGCAAAGGAGCTCCTTTGCGCGGCTGCCGGGAAGGGCTGTATGCCGATGATCCGGCGTTTGGTAAGCAGAGCTAGGATCAACAAAGAGCTGGAGAGGGAACTGCTACGTCAAGATTTTCGCTACCCTTACGAGGCAGTATATACCAATGCAGTGCATCAATCAATTGATGAAGCTATGAAGGGGGATCACATCGAGGTGGTCGAGTATTTATTAGACCAATACGGTACTGAAGCACACCTCCCAAACTCCAACTCACACGAGAAGGATGCTTTGCATCTGGATGTTGAGAAATGCGGCCCCGACATGCGAAAACATTAGGCATCTCGCTTGCCCGGGGATTTGGATCCGGACGATAAGGAAGGAACGACACCCTGGCACCAGATTCAGAAGATTCCTTCGGTGTCACCCGGAGAATTTGAAGCGGATGTTAGGGCAGAGGTTTCAGGCTATGGACTCGCTTGTTAAGGAATTCCTAATATTTCCAACTAGTATTGAAACATATGTCAGGTCCCAGGAACAATGGATTGGTTTACCAATTGACACATAAAGGCGAAGATTCCACTGAATTAGCACTTCCCTGACGGTACACCGAATGAGAGAATTGTCTTAAATGACTGGTCTAATTTGAGTTTTCTGCAACGTAGTGTTTACTTCTACCGATTATAATTGAATACGCTTTGAATTATTCATTCTACCAACAGCAAATTGGCTTCAGGCGACCGTCCCATGGACTAGAATAGCATGATTTTGCAGATGCATCTTATGCGAGAGAGTCATATCGTAGACGTGACATACTAGGTTCCATCGTATTGTGACGATAGGGCCATTCCGTTCTATCTGCCCGTTGTCGAGATTCTCATCCATCAAACAGGACTGGCAGGAGGGCAAGCTCTGCTCCCACGGCCGGTTGATGGAAAGTCTGCTGGCCTCGCCGCGTTAATCTTGGCCATGATATCGGTGTGTTGATTGTCCATAGAAACTCTTCTGATACCCTCTGGCATGTTGAAGCAGCAGTTGTTATCCTCACTGTACCAACTTAAGGGTTCATTGAAGCTTCTAGAGAGTAAATTCTTGTAAAGCGATGCGACGCAAGGGCTATTGAGAAAGGAACAATACAATTTTCCGTGTTTTTGCACTCCATCAAGTAAGGCTTGGGTGGCGGCTCGCCGCACGTACACATCCTGGTCGTCGAGCCGTGCCGCCACAGCCGTAAGCATCTTATTGGGCAGGGCTGGTTGCCCACCTAAGGCCTCGACAGCGGCCTGTCGCACCCACTTATTCTCGTCGGCAAGTCGTGCTGCTATAACCGTAAGGATCTTATTAGATAAAGCTGATTGCCTACTTAAGGCTTCAAGAGCGGCCATTCGCACGTCCTCATTCTCGTCGGTAAGTCGTGCTGCTACCGCTGTAAGTATCTCGTTAGATAAGGCCGATCGCTCACCTAAAGCTTCAACAGCAGCCTCTCGCACGTTCTCGTTCTCGTCGGTGAGTCGTGCTAGTATTACCATGAGGATCTTCTTAGGTAGAGCTAATCGCCTACCTAAGGCTTCAATAGCGGCACGTCGCACGTGCCGGTCCTTCTCGTTAAGCCGTGCTGCTATGGCCGTGAGCATTTTGTCAGGTAAGGCTAATTGCCTACCTAAGGTTTCGATAGCGGCGTATTGCACCTCCTCGTTCTTGTCGTCAAGTCGTACCGCCACGGCCGTGAGAATCTCGTCAGGTAGGGCCGATTGCCTACCTAAGGCTTCAATGGCTGCTTGTCGCACGTACACATTCTCGTTATCGAGCCGTGCCGCAATAGCCGTGAGAATCCCATTAGATAGAGCCGATTGCTCACCTAAGGCTTCAACAGCAGCATCTCGCACGTCCTCGTTCTCGTCGGTAAGTCGTGCTAGCATTACCATGAGAATCTTATTAGGTAGGACTAATCGCCTCCCTAAGGCTTCGACGGCAGTACGTCGCACGTGCTGGTCCCTGTCGTCAAGCCGTGTCGCTACGGCCGCAAGAATCTCGTTAGGTAGGCCCGATTGCACACCTAAGGCTTCGACAGCAGCCTGTCGCACGTACTTGTCCTCGTCGTCAAGCCATGCCGCTACGGCCGTAAGCATCTCGTTAGGCAGGACCGATCGCCTAGCTAAAGCTTTAATAGCGGCATATCGCACATCCCCATCGTTATAGTCAAGCCATGCTGCTATAGCCGTAAGGATCTCGTTAGGCAGAACCGATTGCCTTCCTAGGACCTCAACAGCGGTCATTTTCACGTTCTCATTCTTATCGGCAAGCCGTGTTACCACTAGTGTAAGCATCTCGTGAGGCAGGGCCGATCGCTCACCTAAGGCTTCGAGAGCGGCCTGTCGCAAGCACTCGTCATCGCTATCAAGTACGGCGGCAAGGATCTCGTTAGGCAGAGCGGATCGCCCACCTAAGGCTTCGATAGCTGCCTGTCGCACTTCCTCGTTCTCGTCAAGACGTGTCGCCACGGCCATAAGCATCTCATTAGGCAGAGGTGATCGCCCTCCTAAGGCTTTGCCAACGTGCTGTTGCACGTACTTGTTCTCGTTATTGAGAACAGTCGCAAAGATCTCATTAGATACGACCAATCGCCCACGTAAGGCCTCGACGGCAGCACGTCGCACGTCCTGGTCCTTGTGGTCAAGCCATGCTGCCACGGCCACAAGGATCTCGTTAGACAGAGTCAATTGCCCACCTAAGACTTGGATAGCGGCCATTCGCACGTCCTCAATCTCGTCAGCGAGCCGAACCACTACCGCCATGAGTATATCGTTAGGCAGGGCCGATTGCCCTCCTAAGGCTTCTACAGCGGCCTGTCTCATGTCTCGGTTCTCGTTGTCGAGCCAGGAAGCTATCAGCTTAATGTTACTTCGCGGAATTGAGGGTCGTTTGGCTAGCGACCGTAGAATTGTTTTCTGATCATCAGCAGACCCTTCACGTAAAGCAGTGTTCAGGGCCAGCTCGGGAAACTCAGCTTCGCTTGCAAGGTGCGGACGATGGTTGAAATTACACTCAAACAGCAACCACTGGGACAGCCTTTGTTCGAGGACCTCTCGCATTGGCAAGTGACCGGATATTTCGCTCAAGCAATGCATGACCAGTCTTTGATGCGTAGGACCTAAAAGGTCGAGCGGTTCTTCCTCGATTATATTCACGAAGCCAATAACCTGGCTGCCTGCGTCAAGCAAGCCGGCAACAAAGCGCCAGAAGACGTCGTAGCGCGCAGTATATTTATGTTTCCGAAGAAACTCTACAGGATGACTTGGCTTTGTATCCGTCTCCTTATTGCAAAGTGCAAGATACTCAAGTTGCCGTCTATCCTTCCAGTGCCGCACGAAATACGACGCCGCAAAATACTCTTGAAAGGTTAGGTGTATAAAGTGATAATCTTGGTTTTCAGCTCTTAGTGATGAGTCCGAAGTTCTTATGACAGAGAGTCGTCCAAGGATCTCATCAAGGGGCATATTGAACTCAAATCTCGCGGAAATTTCGTCTCGATGCGTTGGCGTGAAATCTATTATGTCGCTATGCAGCCCGTTGAAGGCCAGACACTCAAGCAGCCTGATCTCATCATTGACACTACGTTGGATTTCGGCGGTACGAGCTATCTTATAGCTTCCAACCTGCTTCTCCAGTCGCCCAGCATCCTTCGCCCACAACCTTTGTACGATGGCTTTGTATATGCCGGTCATGGTATCAGGCACATTTCCGGGTTCCAGGTCGTCCCAGGTATAACAAAGCGCATCCAGCTGAATTGGGATCCGCACGAGACCATGAATTAGCCAATGCGCGTGAAGGAAGGACTGGACTTTGTTGACTTTGTCGCGGTCAGTCTTAGCTGTTTCCGGGTCAGTAAAAGACTCTTCGATATATTCCCTCACTTGATCTGGGTAGAACCCGATCGTTTCCAATTCGTGATCAAGAGGTTGGATACAAGATGGAAGGCTGGCGTTGGGCCTGGATGTAATGATAACGTTTGGCCGATTTAGCAGGACCATGAGAAACCGGGACATAGCATCATATCCGCCCAAGAACTGTGATACTTCATCCAGGCCGTCGAGAAGGAATAGAGTCTTGTCGACAGTGGCCTCTAAAACATGACATAATGCTTCAGCGAATTCCGGTTTAGGGTACGGCAGAGAGAAATACTCATGGCTAAGAAGATGTTCAAAATTATACGCCGGTAGCTGGCGTCTCTCTTTTAGCTTCAGATTCCGCAGAGGCACCCAAAGAATGCGGTCGAAATATTCGTCCATTCGTTCCATGTGCCTTTAGTAAACTCATGGACAATCTTTTTGCACAAGGTGGTCTTCCCAATTCCCGCGCGTCCTCGAATCAAAATCCTTCGTGGTTGCATTAGTCGGCCGTCGCGACCCTTGCGTTCGTTGAATAATGTCGCTAAGTCAACTTGTGACGTCTTGTCTAGCGTTTCAACTTTCTGTCGAGTGAAGATTGAAAACGGGGAGGCCTGGGGGGTCGAATCTGCCTCCTTGGATTCTTCCTCTAAGCGATTTTGTCCTGGCTTTTTTATAATGGCGAGATTGATGTAGCACCTGTCCATCGGCAACAGGGAGCCTGAGAGTCGTTCAATCTTGAGCTTGTTGGCAGTATAGTGCTTGTTTCGGATCCAGGCGTCAGGCCCTGCAGAACTGGTTGGTTAGCCGGTTCCCTCCATTTGCAGCTACGGAATCCGACAGGGAAATCTCATGATTTTCAATCACAGCGTAACGCTCTGGTAGGATCATAAAGAAATGTATTCGCTAACCTGACTGTATTTTCTGGTCGGCAATCTCTTTCAAGCTATATGATACAGTCTGGAATGCGATGTCATCCGGCCCTGAAAACTTGTTCAACAGCGCATGCCTGACGGGTAACCCAACGCGGAGGTTGCTGAAATCAAGACAAGCTGAGTATTTCGGAACGAGCTAATTTAGTTAGTGATTATAATGTCCGAACGTCGGTATGACTTACGATTCCGTGATCCCCCGAGCTTTTTTGTGTCTCGTAAAAGCAGTAGATGGAATCCTTGAAAGTAGAAGCCTTGGCCAATTCACAGAACTCTTGGACGGCGTCGTCGAGTTGTTTACGTTCTTGCTCATTCCTGCTAAGGTACTTAATAAGCTCGTTGGCTGTTTCACCACCCATCGATTCAGCTACTTTGAGACGCAGCTGTGCTGCAGTCAAGAAGCCATCGCTACTGCCTCGAAAAGGGGTTCCTAGAAAAGTCACACCGACGGTCGAATCGAGGATGCGCGAGTACTTGCTGTGGCGTCCAGATGCCCGGTGCAGCGCCTTAAAGGAATAAGTGCCTGTTCAAAAATGCAGTGAAGAATTATACGCCCACCTTGCAAAGCAATAAGCCGCCAAAGCAAGAGGCAACGAAAATGATAGGCCGATTGTGAGCCTCCATCTGCGGCGTTAAATCATCTTATCAAAAATAGAAGCCAAAGAAGCTCACCTCTTCTCTTTGCATCTGCAGTTGTAGCAGTAGTCCGTCAGCATGGCCGAGTAAGCTTTCGGTCGCCGCTTCGCGGTCGAAATTCGCGTTCCAGTCGTACGTGAAGATCCGAGCGGTTGAAATTGTTGAAGGCAGCATGTCCGGATCTTGCAGCCAGTGAACGACTCCATCCGTTTCATCACGGCCGTTTTTAAATCTCACCCAAGTTTTCGGTGAGTGAGTGTCCAAGCCATGGATAGCAACGATGCTACAATCCGTTAGCTGAGTCGGACAGGATGGTATGTGATTAGACCGACTCTATGTCAATTTTTCTTGAAGTGTCACTTGGATTGGGGTATACTTGGTTTAGTCCCAGCTTTCGTGGCAGCGCATTTGCGAGCTGTGGAGGCTTGCTTGTGCTGTCTGCCCTCGTCCTCTTATTTGGAGGTACGTTGAACGACGGTCCCGCATTATTGGGTTGTTGGAGATTGCTTGTGCTACTACTTACCCTCGCCCTTTTCTTTGGCGGCATGTTAGGTGATGTTGATGTGCTGCCGGCTCGATAAGCCCGAAGTCTAGAGCTGAGGCAAACAAAGCGAAGATCTGCCCGGAGGAAGAAGAGCTCAGGAACTCCTCAATCAAACTAGGCAACGAACTTCTAATGCTGGCAGAACGATGGAAATAAACGCCAGTATGACGTACAAGTTGCGTGAGGGAGAGGAAGTAGTGTGCTCCTGTTCTGGTCAGCCAGTAGTGTCGATTGGCCCGCGTCTCATACGGAAAAAACGAAGGGGGGGTTATCTGGCAATAAGAAGAGCAACAAAAGCTGCAAGAGCACAGCCCAGAGTGAGCATCGCCCCGTAGCTAGGATAATTTTTGTTCAAGCCGCGTCTTGGGCGAAAGAGGGGTAAGGCCTAGGCCTATGTCGGCCAATAAACACAACGCGAAGAGTGAGGTTCTCAATACCCTGCAGTAGCTCCCGATGTCACAAAAGCGGAAGGCACCGGAGTAGATGTGGAGCTTAATTTTAAACCACAGGGCATGTGCTCAATTTGTGGAGCCACAATGAAAGACCAGAGAGTGGCGCAGCACGCAGATAAAAGCTCTGTTCGGGCTTGGCATCACAGCAGAAGTGTAGCAACCGCTGGTTACTCAAGTTATCAATTGCCTACTCAAGACTTATATGTAAACGGCGTGCTGAGCAGGATAACAATGACATATTAAGTCTTAATTCTTCCTCGATAAGTAATTTGCAACCCCTTGAGCGTTCCCGGATTGCTATGGCGCTCTCAACGAGAGATATTACGGACCTAAGCGGGAACACTCTTGAAGTTACTTGGATCGGACCTCGGAGAGTGCTCCGTAGACGCGATGGCAAGAACATGCTCCCAGGCCATGCTCATGCTGACCTACAAAGCCCAACTCTTTTGCCTTACCTCCGACGTGCACTTATACCATTCCATCTTGATAAGCTATCACCTCGTCTTTGGCTGGTTAGTGCCGTTCTTCTTCACGCAGAGACCCTACTGACACAATATTTCAGGTATCAACGCCGCATTATGCACATATCTCGCCGCTACACCATCAAGCCGTTCGTGGGAGGGACGTGATTTTGACAGAAAACCCGCATCTTCACCTTGTCTGGTACTACGATCGTATATTTATTAAGCCCATCCCGCCTTATATGCTATCTCGCGCCTTCTGGGAATACATTGAGGTTGCGGACAGGGAGCTGTTTGAAGCCGCTGCGGGCTTTATGCGGACATACCGGTTCCTTATACAGGTTGACCTTGATTTCCGTAGGGCCGCAGAAGATATGGGGCTCATACCTACCAGCTCATGCAATGAGCGTCTAACATTTGAAGAATTTGCTGCGTTCATCACTCCATTTGCAGATCTACCTGATAAGTGTGTCTCGCCTCGGTATCAATACGGAGAGCTCCGATTGACGCGGCTGAACTGGCTAGCGAGAATTTTTCTTGGAAAACTCACCTTTCACCATATCAATGCCCAGTGGGGTTCTTGCTTAAGCCGCATACTGGCACCGTTCATCGCGATATTTGTTATGTTATCGACCATATTAAGCGCTATGCAGGTTGAGCTAGCTGCGCAATCTTTGCCGCATGAGTCAAGCGAATTGCCTCCCTTTGCTGAGGCTTCACGTCGGTTTTCAGTTCTCGTTCTTTTTCTGGTCACTCTGGTTCTTCTGTTTTTCTTGGGACTCGTCATTTTCATGTGTTGCCATGATTTGTGGTTTGCGAGATCAGTGTTACGCAGGAAGCACAGGGCACAAACTCAGAAGGCTGGAGAGATGAAGTCTGGTGTCACGTAATGATAGATTCGATGGTCCTTGAAGCACCGCGTCAGTCTCCTCTACAGTTAGTCCTTGGGAAGTTATTCACACGGTCCCGTCCATCCTCGTTCTTGTCCTGCACAGTACGAGAATGGAATACGAGAGAGATGGGAGTGTCATACCCCTATCCTTAAGTAAATATGTATCTGAACTCTATTTGTGTGAAAAAGATATGCACCTCCACTTCTTCCGTGTCTGATTTCAGCGTGTTATAAAAATAGCATGGCCACCAATGGATGGGGTAAGGGGGTGCGAAATGGTAGTCTCAGGCCCGTGTCCGTTCTGTCCCCCACCTACAATTCTTGGTCGCCAACTTCTACCTCTTTGGTTGTTTTATGACTTCAATCGTAAATACGTGCACCGATTCTAGCTTTTCTTGTTGTCGTGTCACCTACGGATACTAAAACGGTACGTGCTTGCCGCTAGGTATTATCCAATAGCCGGCTGCGATTTGTGGAGGCGTAAAATACAGAGACAAATGTCGCGTTCCTGAGAATACGCCCCTTCACTTTCCCTTGTCGCAAGTTCGTCCCCTTCAACCCCAACAGCCAACTTCTGTCAAATGTCAGTTGCTTCAACCCGCATTTTGCGACTTCTTCGCAAACAGGCAAACCGGAAGGACAAAAAGTGTCTTTGCGCGCCCAAATATGGTAGAAGACCAGCAGGGTTCGGAGGGCGCAATGTTGAGTACTCACCGGTGAGTGTGTTGCGCCCATGCCAATTCTACAACTCGACTTCTCAACAAAGTCCTGCCTCCAATGTTAAGGCCTTCAATGTGCTAAGGATCGCAAGTATTGTCTGTGCAAAATATCCTTCCTCTCTACAAAGACTCTGTTCAGAACTTGGCTGAAAAAAGCACCCGATTGCGTCCGTGCAGCCAAAAATGGCTGTTATCGGTCATTGCAATTTGCCTCCACAGCAGAGGGTTATTACTGCCCCCGACGCTTCGGGGCCGCCGGGATGGCTGCCGGAACGCCGGTCTAATACGAGGCGCGTACCATGTTGTCTCGCGGTCTTGTCCAGTTCACAAATGCGAGATGTTGCCCTCTTCTTATGATCTACGGCTGCCTGATCCAACTCGCGTGAACATTACCAGGTATACACGTCAACGCGCCTGTAACCCAAGATCTATCTCAGCACAGCCGCCAAACAAGAACCGAAATGTGTGCGCTCAATATAGCCTCGGAATGGCTTCTGCCAGCGACGTACACCCCCAGTTTTGCAGGATTAATCCAACTCCTACCGGCGAAGCCTGAAGTCACGCACCAATTGCATTGCCGCCGTTAAACATGCGGGCGAAAATACCACAGCCTCACTATGCGATTGGTAGTGGCGACAGCCAAGTGTCATTGCAGAATGCCGGGGCCGTGACACAAAGCTCATATCCCAAATACCAAGGCTGTAACGCAATTGCAGGGCCCAAGCCGCCGTGAGAGGCTGTGGTTCGAATAGTTTGACGTTCAATATTCTCTTTTTTAGGCTCGATTGGAGTGACCCCTCCAATGTGCTGGTAGGCGCTGCAACCGCACACTAGAGCTCAGAGCTACAATGACTTTCTTGCGTCCTTCATAATCCACAGCCATGCTTAGCCGCTCATAATTTAACAAGCTGTTTGTTATTTTCCAAACATGTGTCTGTCTACAAGTCTCGCCCCCCAAGTCTTCTCCTGAGGGGGAGAAAACATTATGTGATAGCATACAAAAGGCATTTTGTGCGCTCTGTGGTCAAACTAGGCGGGTTGCCTGCGTAATTTTGAATCAAGTCGAGCAACAGCACTTACTGGCTCTCAGCTCCAACTGCATGATAGTAATCATGCAGCTCATTCCTCTCAACTTCTCGCGGGCAGCACTCTCAGAAAGAGTTGAACGATGCAAAAAACAAGTTGTACTGGCGAATATGCGCAATTTTTGAGGTCACTGAGGGGTGCTAATATTATTTACAAGGCGGAAATAAGTCCTGTCCCACTTCGTGTGTGTGGCACAGTACTCATTCTGAAACATTCGACCATGCCCACCAAAGCGTCTCTATTGTTGCACGTAACGGTTGGTGTGCCAGTGTTGTCAGAGCCGTGCGTGACTTTGCTCATGTCTGCCCTGTGGGCAATTTAGCCTCTCCATTTGGGCTAACAGATGCGGAAGGAAAACTTGTTGTGTAACAGCAGGTTCGCATAATTCTATCTCTGCTTTGTCTTTGACCGGGCAGAGACCTTTGTCATCTCTTCTGCGCGACGGGCTCGGATGTTCCTTAAGCCGATCCCACACCTCCTGCAGCTGGGCTCCTGGATTGAATATCTCAGCTGTGGACAGACATGCCAGTGCTCTCCCGACACCAACGACGTCGTCCGCCCTACCAGCCAAAAGAAATGTAAGCGCCAAGGGCTTCGCCGTTGTGCGCTCGGCTTCCTCTACTCTTATGCCGTGCTGTTCTCCCATGAGAGCGACTTCCTCATCGCCCGGGACAAACATCTACTTCCTGCAAAGGTGCAATGACCTGTGTGGGGAATGCTCGTCGGGCAGTGGACACGGAACCCAGCTATTCCAGGATTGACCGTCGCTTCATCCGCGACATGCGTATGAGTCGTCTAAACAAGATATGCGCCCATCCCAAACACCTCTGTGCGGCTACAAGTCTCAGTGGGATCAACACAGCGACTACTTCCAGGAACACTTTGCTTGGCTGGTCTACGCAACCGTCCACATCACCATTGTCTTGACGGCAATGCAAGTCAGACTCGTGACTGGGTCCCTGGCCCACGGTGACACGTTCCGATCTGAATCGTACGGCTTCACTCTCTTTTCTATTCGAGGCCCCTTATTGCTGCCTCGCACAATATCCTTCAATTTGGTTGGATCTTCACATGTAGCTGGATGAAGGCCGTGGAAGAAGAAACGCTACGCTGACGTCCGGCTCTACTAGCTTCCAATGTTTTCGAGCCAGGCGAATCCCCTTGTTCAAGTACTCTTCGATGCTAGCTGTGGTAGATAATCTGTGTGTATAAATGACCCACGTCTTTTTTGCCGAGAATATGAGCTGGGTATGATTGCGTTTGGGGTCTAGGAGGAACGGAGTGGAGATGGCCCGTTGCCTCTCAGTTCTTGTGCCGCTTAAAGTAGCCTTGCGCCTTCGTCCTTGGAAACTTGCTTCCCCATTCCGTTTGGTCCAGACGATGCCGTCTACCTCCACCACCACCCGACATTGATTATCGGCACGGCCCGACATAGTAACTTCTTGTGAAGTAGGAAGTGCCAGGACCCGTATATTATTTTGGCGACCACGTACGATGTGACAACGGTGATGGGTGCGGGGTTATGAGCGGCATACCATGACACGTCATTGACAGCCGAGGGTCGCACCTGCAGCGATCACTGCATCGTGTAACGCAGAAAAGGACGGCGTATGCTATTCAGAGTGTGTCCCGACTTCGAAAGTCGAGCTGCAGATTGAGCGGCTCTGTGAGCGACCCCGCGCCTGCACCCGCGCACCGTAGTCGAGGACAAGAGTTTCAACCGCAACTTCGACTATTTCAAGATTCAAGGCAGAGCGGAAGTCATGAGCCAGTGGTAGAACTGACACCGCGCGGACAAGGCGTCTGAGGTCACAGCTGTGACCAAGGCGCAGCACTCGAAGGATAAGCTTTGAGAATCAGGAGGGGAGGAAAGAGGGGATGGCGAGGATGGAGTTGTCAGGAAGACTTGGGCAGGTTGGCGGCGCATCCGGCACGGCGAGGGGATGACCATCCAATCAAAAAATGCCAACCTGGCGATGCATAGGCACTTTGACGCCCAATTACACATGTCCATTCCGAAACGCGAGGGCAGCAATACGTGGAGCAGGTTTTGGTGGTTGGCCAGCACCTGCGAGGCGACCCGACGGAGCAACAAGACCTCGTAGCCACTCGTCATCATCCCAGGGCATGCCGAGTTGTGTGAATGCAGGGTTCCGCGTCCCAAGAACCTCTTGTTGTGAAGCGGCAAACAAATTATTACAGGCACACGAAAGAGCTTATTAGCAACCTAAGGCGGCGGCATCGAGCCATCGCCATCGGGCCCTGGTTCGCCACCATTCAAGCCCCTAATACTGAGAACAGGTCGCTCCTAATGTCGACAGCTCGAATAAAAAACCGACCGACGCGCGCTTTGATACGACCACGACCGGCTGAATTTACTTTGCCCGCGGCATACCCCAAAGCTGCGGGTGACTTTGTCGCTGCAGGATGCCATGTCACGACGTGCGTGAGAAGGAGCTTGACTTTGCCATGGCTTCATTTTCATCCAGATGTGGCTATGCGCCGCATGTCTGTCTCGGCTTGTGTCGTGCTACCCTTCCAGTCTAACTTGCTCAAAGTACAGCAATACCACAGCTTGACAGGATTGCAGGGGTCCGAAATGGGACCGCAGTGTGATGAGCCTGGACAAAAAGGTACTGTAAACAGACTTGGCTCGACATACGCAGTAGAAGAGAACATAGAGCCACACTTCAAGCTGCGAAATGACACACGCAAGTTCCTTCGCAATCGAACCCTGACTCAACTCCTACTGTCCCCAGTAACACCTACGAGCCCATAGACATATTTTATGCATCTAGTTGGACAGGATCATTGCACTGACGGGCAGAAGAAGCACTGTTGGTTTGAGTGAGGCGACCTCCTCTGTATGGAATAAACCACGAAATAGCATAACATTACCAAAATTTACGGGTTTATGGATCTGACATATAATGTATGTTTCCCTCGTGTGTCCCCCAAGGCAGACTGTCAGAATGAACTGACGTGCTAGGATGCATGGCATTCTATCCATGCCTTTGTTCCATTTGACCCAGCTGGTAAAAGTTAAGAAGGGAATGGTCACGTGTGTTGTTGTGCTGCTTCCTCTTCCTCTCCTCTTCCCCCTCTTTGTATCCGAATCAAACATTCTTGTTTATTCATTCTTGTGCATCTTGCAGTCGTCTGTTTTGTCCATCATTCACAAGACGTCGCGGCCAACTCTGTCTACTCCATAATCCCTCTGGTATCATCATATTTCCTACAGGATGTATGAGTGCGAGACTTGCACACGAGAGTTCAACAGCGCTCACTCCTGCGAGCAGCACATGAAGGATACAGGTCATTTTGGGCCACGGTTCGAATGTGAATCTTGTACCCGCGAGTTCCGTTCCGTACATGCAGCCCAGCAACATATGAATTCCTTAGGCCATTGGGCGCCAAAGTTCCCTTGCGAGACCTGCTCCGCCAAGTTTCACACTGAGAAAGCTGCTGGACAACACATGCAGGCTAGAGGGCATTATCAATACCACTGCAAGGCGTGTAACAAGAGTTTCCCAAATGGCAACAGCCTCCAGATGGCAAGTACCTTGACATATTCAATCCGGGTTTCTAGATTCTTTCAATCTAATCATCCAAAGCATCTGAATTCCAAGCTCCACCGGGGGGCTAATGTTCCCTGTCCCTTCTGTCGAACTGGCTTTACAAGCGCAAGCGGCCTTAGCCACCACCTCGAAACCGGTTCCTGCAATAATGCACCTTCACTCAACAGAGAAAAACTGTTGGCACTGGTCCGAAAACGCGACCCTCATGGCGTCATTACCAATAAACAGATCGGGTGGCACGACGAACAAAACACCACCTACGAAGCGAGCCACCTATCGTACAACGGGGACGCCTGGGAGTGCTACATCTGTCACCGTGAATTCAAGACCCTGAATGGTTTGAACATGCATCTCAATTCCCCTAGACACAAGGGAAAGATTTATCATTGTCCAAACAAGCGTGGGTGCGCCAAGCAGTTTGTTTCATTAGCTGGATTCTTCAATCATTTGGAGAGTGAGACCTGTTCGTTCATGAGGTTCGACAGAGTGCAGACGCATGTGAGCACTATCCTCAGTGGAAGTAAGTTGATTTCTTTTTGATGTTAAGTCGGCCTGGCGTAACGTTCCATTTGTATTGGGAGAGGAAGAATGGGGCGCCTGGCATGAAAAGTAATGTCTTCCACGGCCCTCAGTCTTATATTGGAATTACACGCTTGCAGTTTGAAGGAAGGTTGCAGCCTCTCGGAAATTTAACTAGGGGGGAAGCCCCTAAGGGAATTTGACAAAAATAAGGTTGCATTACAATATATTACCAAACCAGTGATGAATATCTCAGCCCTAAAATATCGAATTGTGAACGGATAATTGTCTACTAATATTTCACCAACCAGTATCGTAATGTTGGCCGCCGTGAACCCATGCCATGTGCGCCGTTTCTGGTTTTTTTCTTATTGTGTCATCTACGGATGCTACCTACCTATACTCCAGCTGTTGAGCTCTCTAGTTTAGTTGGAGTAGAAATATCCAAGGCTATGGACGGTGTTAAGTGTCGACTTATGTTGCCTCCATATTCTTGATACCGCTTTGGTCCAAGTAGACCACTCCGCATCCAAACGAAACGGTAACCTATACTGGACAGCGATGACTTCAATTCAAGTAAGTCAAGTTTGGGGGTGTAACTTGAGTACTTGAAATAAAATCCTCTGTGAACTTACTTAACTTGGTTCGACTTGATTTACTTGATACGTTAGTCAGCATTAAGTTATTGTTATAGTGCTACGGTACTACCGTCCCTCCTCTTCACCCAAACCCATCCCTTCCCCGCCAAAACTAACAACCTCACCCACCGTGATCGCTTGATGGCCCAGCCAGTTCCGCAGACACTGTATTTCCTCTGTTATTTCGGGGCCTAAGTTGTGTCTTTGCGAGCGTAATGTTAACTTCGTCACACTGAAAGTCCGCTCAGGATCGGCAGACATCGCAGGAATCATCAATATGTCAAGGGCAAACTTGCTCAAGCGTGGGTATTCTTCTCGGTGGTCCTTCCACCACAGAATAGGGTTCAAGTTCTCTCGCCGTATCGGTCCTTGCCTCATGTAAGCTGCAACTTCATCGTCTTCCTCCATCATGTGCCGATCCTGGCTCTGCATCCACTGGTCGAATTGACTAGGCTCGGCTTGCCGTATCGCTTTTGCGGTTACGATTTTTACTCGATCAGATGGCTCATTGGCTGGATAGTGTAGTTCAAAGTATTCCCGAACGCTCTTCTTGGCGTCTCGCAGCCATACCAGCTGCTCGCGGCTGGTCCAGTTCGCCTCAAGCCAAGACACGTTCCAGCGCGGGTGAAGAATAACGGCAGCTGGGTAAAGCGGGGACTGGCCAAGTCGAGTGTACTCATCGAGTTTTGACCAACAGTTATTGATAGAGATTTGTATGCATCGTCGGTGGTCATCATCAATACTCTCAGCTTGCGAGATTGTACTAGTATATTCGTCTCGAGTGTGCTGAGGCAAGTGTTTCTCGCATCCGTGGCACTGGTCAGCTTGTAGCCCACTACATCCTGTAGTACTATTAGCAAATAGACTTGAGGCGAGCGAAGACGACTAGAAAATCATACTCGTGGCTACCGAGGCTCGCGCATTCCGTGGCTTATTAGCACCTGCGTCAAGCGGCGAGAAGATCAGCTTGTGCTCCTCGAAGACGGTAAGCAAATATTCCATTCGATCATAACTTCCCACAAGGCGCCGTAACGGCCTTCCTTCGCCCAACCCTGGCACCGCATAGTGATTTCGTAGAGCGGTTTTAACAAGCTCTGCATCTCCGTCAAGAGAAGCCAGTCATGCGGTGAGAGATGATCTTGGATAGGCACACGTTGTCGGGGCTCTGCTGCCTTGGTTTCGAGATACGCAATGAAGTGGTCAATCTGCTCTCGTTTTCGAATGGCACGCTGGATCATCAGAAAGGTTGAATTCCATCTGGTCTCATTGTTCTGCATCAGCTCGAGGTCGATTGCTGCTCGCTTCTCCTCAGAGAGTTGGTAGTCGTCATCATCACGTTGGTTGTATGCCAGAGATTTCATCAACTCTCGTCGTTGCGGAGAAGCCCTAACGAATCGGACGATGCTGTGCAGCTTGCCGACGGCGCCGCGTTTTCGCCAAAGTCGAAGTTCACGGAAGGCCGCCTCTGTGAAGGCTTCTCGTTCAAACGAGTCAGCATCTTCTCCCCAGAGAAGCGCCTGACCTGCAAGGCCGGTCATATGTCCAAAGCATCGTGTTCGGTGGTTCCTAATGTCCTCCTCGGTCATCGCAGGAGACAGTTGACGAAAGAGGCTCACCAAGCATGTATCATGTGATGAGGCATTGTCGCAGACACCCGCACCAATCCGGTCGCGTGTCAGGTACTCGACGAAGACGCCGTATATTGTCGTTGCTTGGTTGTCTCCCGAATAAGATCCCCACACGCGACGGAGGGCAAGAAGCCGCGATTGAACCTCATAGGAAGCGTCGAGATAGTGAGCGTGGAGCCCAAGGAGGGCGTAGCGGTTGAGAGAAGTCCACATGTCGAAGCTAAAGATAATCCTTGTGACTGCATTCCTCAATTGAGTCGATATTGCTCCCTTCTTTGCCTCAAATAGTTTCCGCACGGCATCGCGAACCGACTGCCGACTCCACGGCACCTCCTTTGCCAATGATGCATTGTGGCAGGTCGAGAATTCTTCGCAAGTAGAGGTTCGATGGCGCTGTGAAAGGAAGGTTGGCAGTAACGATCCAGCCGACTCTCAACTCCTTGGCTTTATTAACATTGCATCTTGCAGTAGGCAGCTGCACGCAGCGTCGTTTCGAGGGAGGGTATGTAACAGCGCAAACAGAATCGTCCGTTCGAGTGATCAGATGGGACCTAGATGTGGTAAGACGCAGAAAGAATAAATGTCCAGCGCGCACGGAATCACATACCTCCGGAGGTGCTCAATTGGAGATGTGGTATTCGACGCGACGGACGGCGAACTCTTCCCATGTCCATCACATTTGGAGCAGACCCAGTAGGACTGCAACGTCCGCAAATCAGGGCTGACTTCAGTGAGGAAGAACCCGTGGGCTTAAACCCAGCTCCGCCGGCCTTTGCGATTTTTGTTTGCTATATATTCCTCAGGAGCATTTCTAGAGACTGCTGTTGTGCTGCCATGGCGGGACGATAGCGGACCGCGGATCGCTGCCACTGCTTGCCAAGGCACAACTTGGACTCCAGCTGAAGCTTGACGCGTACCGATGACAGTAAACAAAACAGTGGAATTGTGGGAACCAGAAAGTTCGAGTACAGCGAAGGCAGCATGCAGGCATACTGGCGGACCTTTGAATACATGTACACGGGAAAATACCGCGAAGAACCGTGTATGAAGCTCAATCATCCAGGTACGTCGTACACTCCCAACCACGAGACCACGATGTGGGTTCATTCGGCCTAGACGACGACGAGCTCTCCAAGGACGTTCGAGTGTATCAGCTGGCCGATTACTTTGAGGTGGACGGCCTTAAAGACTATGCTCTGCAGAAGTTCCAGGCGAAAATCACCAAGCTATGGGTTAGTGAGGTGTTTGTTGATTGCATAAGAGATGTTTACCGATCTACAAGCGATGAGAAGTGCAAAATGAGAGGGGCTGTGGTTTATGTCGTACACCAACATGTGTCTGAGCTGTGGGGGAAAGGGCCTTTTAAAGAGCTGCTCCGTGAGGGGGGTGACTTTGCGGTGGACTTGATGAGTAAATTGGTTGGAATGTGAGATGGAAACTATCATGGGAACTGCCCGTTTGATTTGGTCATCTGATATGCCGTGTTTTACGTAGGACAGCAACGTCATGTGATAAAGCACAAAGTTGAGTGCTGTTGAGACATCAGAAAGTGGCGTTTCAACCCCGCTCAAACATGAATTGTGAATCCCTTGATCCAACTTTAGCCCTTCAAGGTTTGAGGATTCGTAGCTGAACATGGTTCAATACGAGGCACCCTGCGAAGCCAGGCGGCAGATTTCAGAGTGAGTGTATCAGTGTTTGCCCAACACAACTCAGACCTGACTTTTTTCCCTCAGGGCTCGTAAGTCGGGGGAATTCTCCGACCTCACGTTTGTATGCGGAGGTCTACGAATTCCCGCACACATGATCATAGTGTGTCCGCAGTCTCCAGTTATCCATGCCGCATGCATCGGCCCTTATCGAGTAAGTATGCTGAGTCGAATACTTTGATGCTTGCTCATGACGCATATAGGAGCAGGAAACAGGCGGCTACGAGATCAAAGACGTCTCGTTCGATATCGTCCGACAGATGGTGGAGTACTTGTACACAGGTCAATATGAAGTGCCGTCGTCTCAAGACTCCGATGGCAAAAAGCACGATGCCATTTTGCCTCTGGTATTTCATGCAAGAATGTTTGATATCGCAGATACATATCTCATCAAGGGGCTGCAATCGCTATCCGCGACCGAATTCACGAGATCTGCCACGCGCGAACCGGATGACTGCGCGTTCTTGCGATCCATAATCGACGTCTACTCTTTGCAATGCGAGTCCAGCAAAATACTTCGAGATATAGTGGTTGAATCTGTAAGAGAGCGAATCGCCCGACCCTGGAATTCTAGCGCAGAAGAAGTGCTGGATGAAATCACGGACAAAATTCCAAAATTCACCAAAGATCTTCTCAATTCAGTCTTGCATCAGCCAGTTTTGGGTAAATGTTCTTGTTGTGGACGCGAAAAGCTGGTCCCAGTGGTTCCCCTGCAGTGCAGGTGCAAAAAGTGTGGTAAGGGAGGTGCGTCAATTTTGGGAGACCGGCATTACGATTCTTTCTGAGCTATAACGGCAAAGGAAAATAATCTGGAAAGAGTGTCAAGAGAAATTTAGGTAGCAGGTCCGGACACAACCGCGTGTAATCTCACGTGGGCTTCTCATGGACTGCTGGAGATGATGACATCTTTTCCAAAACTTTGTACAAATCTTTACTTTGAACAGAAACTATCCAAAATGTACCTAGCTTCAATGCTAATTTTGCAGACCGATTAAGTGCAGCTACGCTGGCTGGTTATCTAAGTGTAAATGTGTATCTGAATTTTAAAGGGCCACCGGTATGTGCTGGTTGACGTATCTTGCTCGCGAATGCCGCGCCAGCATAAATGTTGGCGAAAACCAGGTAACCAAGTCGATTGGACCATATGTCTCCCGAAGAGGTAGGCGGTGGGAAGGGGCATAAGGTTGTCGACACACGCGTCACCACATACTGTCGCGCGTTATCAGAACCTAACAACACGCTAAATAATGAGTCTCTCGGAAGTCCAACTAAACCAGCTTCGAGGCGCACTGCAACGGTCTGTTCTAGACTGCGCAGAGCGATGTCTTTATTTGTCTGCTAAATGGTAGGATGCTTCACCTATTTGCTGCAGTTTCGGTTACTAACTTTTTTTTTGGGGACTTCCGCAGGGCGGCTGAATTGCTCAACGCCCTCCCAGGTCATGGAGTTGATGGGGCAAGTTCGCATTCGCTCCCGAACCCCATCCCAACAACGGGCATTGCTGAGCAGCATCTGGAACTCAAGGAGGTGCCAAAATATCTCAAAGCGAAGGCTCTTTTCGATTGTCACGAATTCCAACGCAGTGCGGCCGTTTTTCTGCCAAGCAGCTTCTTGGAGCTTCCAACTCTGGCTTCACTACGTGAAGCTCAACCAAATAGAGACAACGCCTCTGCCTTTACAAGAAATAGAGTCAGTCAAAAAGGGTTGTTCATTGCTCTATACGCACAGTTTATGGCGGGGGAAAAGCTGAAGATCGAGGAGCTTGGACAAATTCTCGGTATTTCCGACGTGGGCACGACTGTAAACAAGCAACTCGTGCCAATTAAACGAGCGTTGGAGCTTTGGTTCAATAATGCATCTCCCGATAACCTTCAACATGAGACCAGCCACGGCTGGCTAGAATACCTGTTCCGTCTCTCTACATCTTGTATTTCATGACAAGTGGCTAATGCTGGGTATAGATACGGCTTGATCATGGTGAAAGAGGGGATCAACGATCTGGCGATCGATTGGCTGCTGAGGAGCGTGTCCCTATATCCTTTGAACTGGGGTGCGTGGGAGGAGCTGAGCGATTTAATTCATGATGTGCGACATGTATGCTCCCCTTTCTCTTCGGTAACAGCTGGGCCGCAGTCAGGAACTCACAACCCAATTTAGCTTCAAAGGATTCAATGTCGGATGAGCCCGAGTATCATGGGTTTCATTTTCTCCATATACTGTCGACAGAGGTTGCAGCAAGGTTCTCCTTCCCTTCTAGCTGAACTTTCTCAGCTTCAGAGTATTTTCCCCGAAAGTTTGTTTCTTCAGGGACAAAGAGCTCTGGTGTCTTACCAAATGAAAGCTACTTACGTAGCATACTTCTTCTGCATTCATATTCTAAGAACTTCATAGACATATATGAGGCCAATTCGATTTTTTGGACAATGACTCTATCCGACCCCAGGCATTTGGATTTTGTGGACCATTATTCCAACGTCCTACACACTCTTGCCTCTCGAGAAAGACTGGCTTTCGTTGCCCAACTTTGTTCGGCTGTCGACCGCTACCGTCCCGAGACATGCTGCGTTGTTGGTAATTACTACTCTTTGTGTGGACGTCATGATGATGCCGTCATGCTGTTCAGAAGAGCTCTGGTTCTCGATCGCCGTTTCTCCGGCGCCTGGACATTACTGGGTCACGAGTACACGGAGCTGCAAAACATACACGCCGCTGTAGAATGTTACCGACGTGCGATCGATCTTAACCAACACGATTATCGAAGTTTCGTTGGACTTGGTCGGTCCTACGAAACCTTAGATAAAGCAACATTCGCGTTATACTATTACCGTCGAGCAGCAAAACTGCGTCCAAGGGACGCGGATTTGTGGCAGCTAGTTGCCAATTGCCTTATTGGGTTGACTTTGCTCCATGAGGCTGCTAAAGTTCTTGAGCGCGCCCTTACCTACCTTGGACCGTCAACAAACACGAAAGACGTGTCGAGTTCTCTCAAGCATTCAAGGAGCAAACGCTTTGAGGTGCTCTATCAATTGGCTAAAATATACGATGAGACGGAAAATCGGGATGAAGCTACGAGGCTCCTCGAGCTTTGCGTGGAGGAATATTCTGCAACTCAAGAACGCAGTGATGCTGATGAGAGCATGACGGGAAATGTCGGCCGCTTGATCATACCGAAAGCGCTCTTGCTTTTAGCAGAGTGGGCAATTAGCGATGGTGACTTTGCAAAAGCCCAGGCCATGGCTAGTCGCATCGATATAGACTGCGAGCTTGCAGCAGATGCACAAAAGATACTTAAATTTGTACCTATCGAGACAGCTCAAGCATCATTCATCACTAACGTAACGCGCATACACACCAGATGCTTAATGAAATCATGCCAAGGAGCGTTATGTAGGAGAGGAGGTCGAAGGCAGTATCCGTGAGTTTAATATTGCTTGGACATAACATTGCTTGAACAACTATGGATCTAACTTCACGAGCTAGCTCCTAAATATAGATACATTCCCGCCTGCGGTTTGCCCTCGAGCCTCGCTTAGATATTAACTGGGAAAGTTGGCACATCATTCTTAGTGATCATAGCATGCCTCTGCATGTACCTTGCCAGGCCTCTCATGCTATTTTCCAAGTATGTCTGACGATCAAGCTGAGCTTGAAGAGTTTTGTACCTCTGCAAGACCGCACCGTGCTGCCGCACAAGCGCACGCTGTTGCTGACTTCCTGGCACTTCCCGGTCGATGCGTCGCTGAGCATCCCGTGCCTGGCGCTTGACTGAGTCATACTCCCTCATGAAAGCATCCATGCCTTGCTGATTAGAATACCACTCTTGGTAGAAAGAACCTCCGAGGTCCCAACATTCTTCGGCAGTACGGGGGTATGAGGCAGCAGGGTACTCATTAGAGCGGCTCATTTTGAAAGAATGCTAGGACAGCGTGAGATAAACCAAACGTTATATGGACACAAGCGAAGAAATTACCTTTTCGAATTTTTGTGTGTTAAGAAGTGTAAGTCGGAGAATAATGCAGTACAGTATGTTGTATTGAGCGTCTTGGAGAAGGAATTTGTTTTGTTTCGTTAAGTAGGACTGGTCAAATTTATATGTGTCGTCAAGCCTATAATATATACCTTCAACGAAGCCGGGTCAAGACTCCAAAGCAGCATGGAGACAGGCCCCTCGACACTCATGGTGTGACTCCCATGATGAAACACAAGGTAGAACCAACGTTCTTCTCGAAGAGCCGGATAGGATCTTAGAAATCAACCTCCGTCCTGGTAATGTCGGTCAGTTGGTCAGATTGTCAACCGCAAAGCGAATCGCCTTCCAAATGAGGTTACATTGGATCAACAAGAGTTGACCTGACAAAGCGAAATCGGCCGGGCGGCTATAGAAAGATTCGTCAGGCACAAGTGTGATGTAGCGAACTGCCTGTCCCGCAGCGACAACCTATCAAGCGAGCAGTATGTAAAGTCAGCGCCTTGTTGGTCGTTATCGCGATGGGACCGCTGCAAGAAATATGAGGGCTAAAATGGGTCGGTTAAAGGAGCCAACCATCACGATAGTCAATTTTATTTCTCGCTATCACAAGTCAGATCCATCTGGTCTAAATGAGAAATTGAACTTTCTCGAAGCCGTTTAGTGAACGCGGCTGGGCATTTCCTTCTGCTACAGTATAACAGGATTCGTACATTAAGAGGCGTTTCCTGCCATGTTGGTTCCTGGGAACGACTTCACATCCAACCAACGATATTGCTTTCACTTGCTGCCTGGAATGATGGCGCCAACAAGGCAACCAACTCACCGTCACTCCTGCAGGAGCAGCCTCATTATAAGTTCTTTTGTTGGACAAATTACTCCATTGTTCTCGTCGAAGATGAGATCTCATGCATGGCGTGCAATGTCGGACAATTCCCTGGCTCGGGAGGAGTCTCGCCGATATGTGATAGCCATAGTGGGCATTTGTGATGACACGGACTTTGTGCATTGATACGGGACAGGTTCTTGGTCGCAAACGTTTTAGGAAATGATATGTTATTGAAAGCAGGTCGGCCAACACCCGGCACCTGATAGGGGCGTGCAGAAAGTCCCACGATATTCAAATCGTGGGACTTTCTGCACGCCCCTCCAGGTGGCCGACTTCCCTGCGACCACACTGATCCCCCTGTCCTTTCCAGCTCCAGGTCATCTGGGCTCACTTACAAGTTTAATTAGCAAGAAGTATGTCGATACAATGGAAGAGCTCGTTACACTGATGAAAGATGCAAACACTATCCATCCAATCTCTCGCGCCTCTTTCCCATTTTCCATTCTCTCGTGTTATCAGCCAAGATGAATGTGCGCCTGTCGAAGCTTCACGATAAGTTTATGCGGCATGAACTAGTTCAAAATCCCGATTTCGAGAAGTTTATTACGGAGGAATCGATTTCTGGCGATCAGTGGACTTTGCGTCTGTCTTATACTGATCAAAATCACGCGCGTATAGAAGACCATTTTGACATTCAAGTGATCGATCACCATTCCCTCCCTCATGTGACATGCAGTCTGACACGGTTCATGCACCGTGGTGGCCTTCGAAAGGACACGAGGGAGGCATTATTCAAGCCAGGGAAATGGCTTGGTCCAGAGCTGTACGTCTTTACCCGATGCAACTGATCTTGTTGACTGATTATAGCATAGAGTTGTCAACCCGATTCAACATCAGAGCAAATCACCACGGCCTTCGTCGACCAGAAGCCTTGAACATCCCCCTCTGACGACCGTTTTAACGACACAAGACTCACGAGAAGACTCACGAGTAGCTACACGCTCACCATCTACCCTTACACAATCCAAGCTCACCTGTAAACCGAACCACCGGACCACGCCGGCTTCCATCGGGAGCAGCAAAAATAACAAAAAAGAAAACAGCGTGGAGTACAGCATTCTAACTATTGTCAAAGCATTCGTTAAGGTCATCCAGATTCTTGTGAGTAAGCCTAAAGACTCACCGCGAAACCGATTGGCAACAGTACGAAGATGTTTCCGCAGGACTATTGAAAAGAACCCTTCTTGCCAGAGTGTGTCGCTCCTAAATACGTGGGAGAAATTGCAAAATCAAAACGTTCCAGTAGACGATGTTTACTCCAAGACGAGTTCTCATATTAAGAATCTTGAAATCGGCGTAGGCTGTACCAAAAATGTGGCTACCTACATTGCTGGTGTGAGGGACTTGTATGGTTTGGACAAGACGGACAATCCGCCACCCAAGGTCCGCCAAAACCGAGGAAGGCAGCGCTTGGAACTAGGCTTTGATCGCATCATGAAATTAATTAAAGCTCTAACAGCATATTATGAAGGTGACACTGACATTGCGATGAGCATATTCACTTTCCTAGAAGGTAAACTATTATGAAGCGCCCTGTGGTATAATCTTGCTAACCGTTCAAGTCGGAGGATTTGGTTTTACTAGGTTGGGCTGCATCGCGAAGGAAAGCGAAAATTTCTTGCACGACGGAATTCTCGCCTTAATTGATTTAGTATTGCGACGTTTAGCTGCCCAAAGTACAGCTACTGGGGAAGAAACCATTCCGCTACTCAACCCGTGAGGGCGTAGATCTTGTCTGCCTGCAGCACGAAAAGGATATGTATGACCAACTCCAACCCCTCCAGGGAGAGTACGTCCCTATATGCTTGGGCATTATTGATCTGGCCCTACCATATTATTATGACAGCGGCATTTGGGTGCATTTCATGTTCCTTAGTTGGGCTGGACAACCAATTCTTGACTGTGTTGACCCGGCGATGAAAGCAGGTATTGCCACCGCTGTTTCCATGGCCTACAGAGCAGTGCACAAGTTGCGCGTTCTTCACCATGACGCACAGCCCCGTAATATCCTATACAATACGACTAGTCGTGGGTTTATGGTTGTGGATTTTGAACGCGCAGAGTTCCGCTGTCGCCGGCCGTTGGCCTCAATTGAGCCGAACCTGAATCGGAAGAGAAAGCGTAGGGCAGTACAGAAACAAAAGAAGGACGACTTTGCGAGAGAGCTGGAGTCTGCCGTGGCAAATGCATTAAGTTGTGTCGCGAACTTACCCTTTTGAGAACCGGATCTACGTGGACGACGTTCTAGCTGTGATAACTGACGGTGCTGACTAGATAGATTCGTGGCTTCGATTTGGATGGTCGATCTTTCGTCATGTTCATCTCTGGGGTTGTCTGTATGTACAGATGGAAAAGGGAGTTATTATGGAGATCAGTCTTCTTGCGGAGCCCCGTCTCCGTACGCACGCTCTCATCATAGCATTAGAACATAATGTTGGACGAACAGCACCATAGCAACTATGGGAGAGAAGAGGAAGCTGCAACAACCAGCAGCCATGGCCACTGCTTCCCGCAAAGTCTGACCACTGGCAATCGGAATACTCTCACTCTGTCATGTGCGTTGTGGACATGGGCAAGTCGCTCCTAGTTTGCGGGTATAATCTTCACAACGATTGCGTATTATTTTCAGTCTCTACGTCCATCGCTTTGGGGCTCACTGTCTTCGCTAGACGTTTCCACAGTCTCCTGGCAAGTACGTGCATTGTGGCCGACCTCGCCACATGTGCCACAGTGCCGTCCTCTCCTGTCATTGCGTTTCCTCCGACTGCTTTGCCGTACATGTCGCTTAACCTGCCCGCTTCCCGTTTTTGAATTATTAAGCTTGGAAGCAATCCAAGTCTCTGACTTATTTTCCCTCCTCCATGCTTGTAGACGGTGTTCTTCCAGCTGGGATAATAGACGGTGTTGACCAGATAGATTCGAGACTTTAACCTGGATAGTCGACCTTTCGCCATCTTCGCCGCTAGGGGTATTTATATTTAACGCATCCCCGCAACTGATGGTACTAGCACTAGATCGGGTTTCAAGACCGTAACCTGAGTTGGAAACGTCATACTCGGGCTCACATCCCGTACTCGGCACATCCTTGCTCACAAAGTGCTGTAACAACGATAGTGCTTCTAAGAGGGCTGCGCGTAAAGTCGAGCATGATGTGCATTGGCTAGCGTGCTTCATATACTGCATTCCGGGTAAATCTTTCGTCTGCTGTGGTGGTAATGGCGAACAACTTGCCTCTGCTTTACGAGGTTGACGCGCTGTGGCTTCTTCGCGGCGACGAGAGCTGTGCTGTCCCGAGGGGCACGTTGGCACAAAAGCACAAGCGTTCGAGTGAATGTTTGCAGGAGCGCTGAGCAAAGTCACATTCTGAGCTGTGGCAGCATCTAAGCCTCTCTTTGAATAGCACATAATGGCACGTTCTCCAGAGCCATTGTCGTTCCAATTGGTGTTATCTTCATGGGAAGAATCACTGCCTTCATCAGCGGAAGCCAACTTTGGCCGCTTCGTCTGCCGTTCATCAGTTGTTTCAACACCGTCATGGTCATAGGCTAGCTGTTGTTTAACATCCGTGTTATTGGGCTGTTGATCCGCCTGCAGCCAACGATGACAGCTCACATCCTTATCACGAAGATTCTCAGGCGAATGGGTCTCAGTCCTGGCTCCAGCACGAATTTCGCCTGGAGATGGCAGGAATAGCGGACATGTAACGTGATTGCTGTTGTTTGTTGATGGCCTTGGTGAGTCCACGGTGATGCACTCTTCGACTCCGAAACACGATTGCACTTCGGCCGATTGCCAACACGCCGTCTGCGCTGACTGCAATGCAAGACTGCTTGAAGTATGGGGATGCTCGTAAACCACTTGACTGGCCTCGTTATAAGCAGAGCAGGTATCCCCGAGTTGCAGAGCTGCACAAGAGTCGCTGGATAAATCGACAAGTGTAGGATTTATAAACATCGCATCATTTACTTCTATAACATGTTAATTATGTCTTCAATTTGAATAGTTAGTCCGACAGTATCGTCACCCGTCATACCATGATTCTCTGACCTCTCAGTTACTGCCTCATTTTGCTCGGAATTCTCCTGAGGCACCAACCCCCTCGTATGCGTCTTGGGCATAGAGACCTTCTTCGATTTTGGTAACCGTTGAAGACCTGGATCGTAGGACTTGAACTTCAGCGGTTTGTACATGATGTAGTGGAGGAAAAATGTCAGTGAAACTTTTAGTCGAACGAGATTCAGGGACAGAATATTGGAGAGGGAGGAGCTGCTTCTGATATAGACGAGAGGCAGAGTCGGGCTCTAACCAGGATCACATCTTCGTGCCGTGTTCTTGCTAAAAGAGAAAGCGGACCATTCCGACCTGAATTATACCAGTCATTCCCTATGCAATCGGCTCCTTCCTGTAATTTTCTGGCTGTTCGACCCCCTGCATGACGCGCCGTGACGACAAATCAAGGCAGGTGATATGAGTGCTTCGGGGCTACAAAGTCCCCCGGAGCCAATCGCAACACGTACACTGCTAAAATGAACACAGGAATTCATGTCGCGATGTATACTGTGGCTGGTTGATCAACACGTCAGCCAATCCCTTGGTCGGAGAAGGCCAATGTGACAAAACGGTCCGACTCAGCTTGTTTAGGGGTGGCAGCTTCGTCACCGCACCTTCTGCCGCAGCTAGTGGGAAAACTAGTAAGCCTTGTTTGTCTTGCCAAATGCAAACAATAGGAAAACGAGGCAAACTGGTGCCGCGTAACCTGCCAGCTGACGATCCATGACAAAGTATGTTCTGTCTGTGTGTCGCATTCACTCACCATGATGTTGATGTAGTCTGACCTCACAGTGTACCTCAGGCATAGTGAATATTAGGGTGAGGGCGTTCGGCCTACTACTGCTTGATCGAGTAGATGGGGCAAACTAGTCATCAAGTCCATAAAGTGATGGACAACGTGCTACATGCATCTCCGGAGGCCTGTTGGTCGGCAAGGTTCGTAGCAACCCAACCGTTCGTTCTTGTGACTGGGCGGACGAAGATGAAACGCTGAGGTGTCGACATTTACATCATGTCGTAGCTGCCTTCTGTTGATCTTCACCTTCGGCCAGTCCCCGAAATGAAGCCGCCTCCCATCCGTAGCAGAATGATCGAGACCGCCATCGACCCAATTTCCTGTCTGACTCTGCAGCCAATCTTTTGATGTCGATGCTTTTCTTAGATTGGTGTCGTAATGATTACCCTCCCTGAACTCCTGGCAGAAGTCCCAGCGAGGTGATGAGTGCAGATACGAGCTGCCGGCTGAAATGCGTCATCCTTTCTTCCCATGATTGGAGGACTTGTGATGGTTATTTGCAAAAGTTCTTGCCTTCTTGAGTAATTCTGAAGGGGCATGACGTGTTCCCAATTGTGTCGAGACTTCTGCACTGACGAGAGTCTTCAGATAGTTTTTCCCTTTCGGGTAATTTTGGAAGAGGTCTGCGAGGTTGGTCAGCTAGAGAACATCGAACCGACCATTTCCAAACGAAGATCCCAGTCACTAGCGGTCGGAAGAATTCCTCAGCTGCGCCCCGGGCATCCCGTACTTTGTGGAAGGAGATACGGAAATCATGAAAGTATCAGAGTATACAGCGCTTCGGCTGCGTTATGCGGTGGTAATGTTCCTCCTCGTTTGTCGTGTTGATCGTGGTGTCGCGGGCAACGTAAAGGTTGATGAGTAAGCCGGCACTAAAGAAGAAGAGAAGGGTTACAAGAACAACTTGAAGGGACTCGACGGTACTTGTGGGCGGAGTTGGCGGGACGGCCGCTTTATAGGCGACGCAAAAGCGGCGAGCGAAGGAGGGGCTGAGAATTCCCCGATAAGGGAACCACCGGATGTGGTGGGCCAAGACCACCATTTCCCGAGGCGGGCAAGCCGTCGTTTTTAATACTATGTTTTTAAAAAAGGTTAAATATTTAATAATAAATCCAAAAAAATACTTGAATTATAATAATAAATATATAAATTAACTAATATTATAATTAATTAGCTTATATATAAAGTAGATTCTTTTAGCTTATTATAAGCTTAAAAACTAGATTATATAATTTTCTAAAAACTTATTATATTATTTTAGTTTATACTAGAGTATTAACTATATTATAGTTTTATAGTTGTATAGTTTCTATAGTTTCTAATATAAAAAGTTATATTAAATCTAATAAAATACTTATAAAATTATAAGTTTTACGAATAACTAGTATAAATCTTAAATTATAAGCTAATATTAAAAAAGATAGGTTTTTATATACTATTATAAGCTTAAAACTTTAAAAACTA